CCCAATCGGCCATCAAAAAAGAATAAGAGGTCAGCTACCGAAATCACTGATACTGATGGCTTTACTCAGCCGAAAAACCCGGCCAAGCTTTCTAACTTAATTAAGTGTGATGTAGATATTCCCGTAAGCAATAAATTTAATGGATTAAATGGAAATGATAATATGGACCAGGGTGAGCCTAAAATTATTGAAATTGAGCACCCAAGAATTAAACCTATTATGGTAAAACCTGCTGAAAAATTTTCTGATTTTGTTAAAAAACTAAAGAGTGATACTAAACTCGAATTTGCAGTTAAGATAAATGGCGAGTTTCTGAAAGTGTTCCCCAAAACAGAGAGTGATCATAGGTTAATTACTACGTACTTAAATGATAAACAGATATATCTTTATTTAATAATCAGCAAGGTAGAAAAACCTATTAAAGTTGTCTTTAGAGGACTACCCATGGACTGTCCTAAAGATGAGATTCATGAAGAGCTTACAGCTCTTGGTTACAAGGTGTGTAAAGTGTTACAAATGCATAGATTCAAAACTAAGGTCCCTATGCCTCTTTTTCAAGTCCAGTTGGAGAATTGGTTAGAAGATATTCATAACTTAACTTAGTACTTCATGTGTTTTTATGTTACTGTTACCCCATATAATACTATCGGAAGTGTTGTGCAGTGTCACAACTGCCAACACTTCCACCACTTGTCAGAAAATTTCGAACTAGAGCCCTGCTGGGTCAAGTGTGCAGGGGCACATAAAACTGAAAACCGTAAGGTTAAACGAATTAACAATGTTATGTGCTGTAACTGCAAACAACCAGGGTACACGGCCAATTACCGTAGGTGTCCAAAATTCCCTACTGCTAGAAATGTTAACAATTCACTAAGTGATGTACAAAGTGAAGTTAATGTATCTGACAATGTAAATTTTGGTAATCGAAATAATGTAGTACCAGGCATTAGTTATGCTAATGCAACTAGTGGTAAAGCTGCGCTTGAAAATGGGAAATTGTCTGATAAAAATGTTAAAAATGTAACTGATAACATTAATATTAATAAGAAACCTACAGACGTAGGCCCAAATGTATTTGCTGAGATGTTTAAATTTATTAAGGAACTTGTTGATATTTTTAAGGGATTCTCATTTGCTAATATTATTAGAAAGATTACAGATAAAATGCCTAAGCTTCAAGCTGCAGAGCACACTATTGACAAGATGTTTATTTTGTTTGAAATATTCGAAAATGTCTTTGGTTCTAAATGTGATGTATAGTGTTGTTAACAATTGTGTAAACATTTATACATGGGACAAAAACGGTTTGTCTCGTAAAATTAATGAACTGCAAGATTTTATAAATGAGCACAGTCCCGATCTATTATTCCTACAAGAACACCGACTTGGCCCATCAAACCCAATCTATGTTGCAAATTACTGTGTATATCGATCCAATAGAGACATAACTGCTGGCAGAAGGAGAGGAGGTGGTACTGCTCTCCTTGTTAAATGCTGCATTCATCACTATCAAATAACAATCCCACAGCTTTCAGCCATTGAGGCCACAGCTATCTCCATCGCAACATACACGTTTGTCTCCACTTATGTACCACCATCAAAGCTCCGCACAACTGTTGAGACGGATCTCAACACATTACTCACACTTGGTACACACTTAATTATAGGTGGAGACATAAATGCTAGACACCGCGCATGGAACTGCTATAATTCTAACACTATCGGCAATGTCATATTCAACTTGGCCCACAGTGTCCCATTTCAGATTTTAGGAGCTCCAAGTACCCCAACACGGTATACTACTGGTTCCTCTAGTATCTTAGACTTCTTCCTTCTCAGAAACACCAGTGTTCCGCTGGATGTTTCTGTGTTGGATGAATTATCTTCCGACCACAATCCAGTCCATTTGATGCTGAACATCAGTAGTTACACTACACCAGTCAAAAGAGCCTTTAAAACTGACTGGCAAATTTTTGCCAAAGCTCTAAACAGCATTCAGTATACAATCCCAACAATACATTCAGGCAATGACATTGATATTTTAATCGAGGAGTTTACCTGTGCAGTACAAAATGCCTATAAAAGTGCTCAGAGAGAAATGAAACAGCCTGAATCTGTCAGATCCAAGGAACTTAGTCAGCTCATCAAAAAACACAATGCCGCCAGGAGACAATTTCAGAGAACCAGATCCAAACAGAATAAAACTATTTTCAATATGCTGTGTGATGCAGTCAAGTCTCGCACTAATTATTACTCACAACTCCACTGGGCTAACTACCTGGAGTCCCTCTCCAGAGACGATAACTCCATATGGAAAGTGATCAAAAGGTACAAAAAATGCCACAACAACATCCGCCCCTTAAAGGCCCTCAAAGGATCCATTATTACACAGATACTGAGAAAGCAGAACTTTTAGCACAGCATCTGGAATCTCAATTTTGCACTAACAACATTCACGACCCCATTACAGAACAGTTACTTACTGACTTTCACAACAACTATATGCCAAGACCGCATACTGACAACATGATCCTAGTCATACCGTCGGAGGTTTGCTCCTACATTAATAAAGCTGAAGAACAACAAGAGCACTGGTTGTGACACCATAAGCAATAGAATGATCAAGAAATTTCCAGTTAAAATCCTACTGTTCTTCACAAAGATTGTCAGCCTTATACTCAGATGGCAGCATTTCCCGGAAAGTTGGAAACTGGCTCAAATCACACCAATTCTGAAACCCAAAAAAGTCTGCAAGCTCATCAGAGTCATACTGCCCGATAAGTCTGCTATCCTCACTTAGCAAAATTATGGAGACTGTACTACTAACCAGGATTGATCAACATCTGGAACAGAATAGCATCATCATTCCTCACCAATTCGGATTCCGAAGCAGATATTGTATGGTCAACCAGCTATACTGTGCTGTGGAACTTATCAGTGAAGGGCTACAGAAAAAGAAAATAACAGGAGGACTGTTTTTAGACATAGCAAAAGCCTTTGACCGCGTATGGCTGGACCCACTCATCTACAAACTACACAACCTGCCCTTCCCAGGTTACATTACAAACATAGTTAAATCCTACCTAACCGGTAGACACTTTGTCGTTCGCGTCTCAAATACACTCTTAACACATAAGGCAATCCTTGCTGTGGTCCCCCAAGGAAGGTCTGCTTGGATCTACCTTATTCAATATCTACGGGAACGACATTCCCAACACACAGAACACAACACTCGCAATGTATGCTGATGACACTGCGATCCTCTCACAAAGTGCATTTGTTAGCCCAGCTATACAATGACTATAGGACTACATAAACATACTCAAGACTTGGCAGACAAAATGGAAAATCAAAGTTAATGTGTACACTCAAGTAATTCTGTTCACCAAGAAGATTAAATTCAACCAAAACCTGCAACTCTTTGGAGAAGTCATCCCATGGGCCAAGCAAGTCCTTTATCTTGGAGTGATCCTCGGTAAAACTCTATCATGGTATCCACACGTAACATCTATTCTTGATGAGTTAGTAAAGTGATACTTCACCCCTTAATTTCTCGAAACAGTGTACTTTCAATAGACAACAAGTTGCTTATCTATAAAACCGTATTGCGTCCCATTCTATGCTATGCCTGCTCGGTCTGGGCATATTCATGCAAATCTTATAGAAAAAAATAGCAACAGACTCAAAATTGTGTCCTAATACAGATTACCAATTCTCCCTGGTACGTTCAAAATCAAGAGTTACATGAAGAATTGGGTATAGAACAACTTAATAATACAATAGAACAACTCTGTTTTTACTGCCGGCTCACCCGGAACTTTTATGCCAATCTTATTAATATCAACAACCCAGTTATAAGGATTTACGATTACGACTTTAATGACCCAAATAATAGTAAACGGCCTATGGCCATACTTAGTACCCATATTGTATAACTTATTTAAACTAATATGTACCTCTTAATATTGTGTATAGATTTAAGGTTTAATTATTACTAGTGAACCAAGAAACTCGCACTATTTTGCCTATTATTTATACGAATGTTTTTTCTGCATCAGGCTATAGCCAGCTCATCCTTCCTTTCTCGGCCTTCCCAGATAGCACTTCAGGTCTATTGAAACTTTAAGCAGACTTTAGTCTTTTTAAAAATTTATCTTTTATCTCTTTTATCTTTCTTTTCTCTTTTTTTTCAATTTTTATGAAGATGTTTGGAGTTTTTTATGTAGTTTTGTCTTGCTGCAAAGTCGGAACTGAAGTGATTGAATGAGAAATACTATATCTCTAATGAAATCCGAGGAAAAAATGTGTATAATTTAAAATGTTGTTCAAGGAATAGCTGTGACTTTTCATGTGATTTTATTTGGGAGTAAATGGCTATATTTAGCAATGGAAGATTTCTTTGGCTTATACAGGAATTTCAAATCTTTTAAGTTATAGCTTTCTTTGAAATATATTTATTTTCAAGATCAGGAAATGTAATTTTTTTGTAACACCAATCATTGAGTACTGATTTTAACATATGAGCTATGTCAAAAAGAAGAAAAAGAAACCTAGGATCATCTAAAGGGTGCTTAATATATGGCTGCAAAGCTTTATTAAATGTCATTAATTCAAATGCATGTTTAATTCACAGCATTATTATCAGAAATTAAACAGTTTTAAATCTCATGTTATCTAGTGCTATTAAAATCTGCTGATTCATGCCTTCTAAATCATTAGCTTCCAATCCATTAACTTAAATAATTAAGTCCATCTCGTAAGATATTTACTGCAAATTCTTCCTTGAGAAAATCTTTTTTCCTCTCTAAATAATTAATGCTGCCAGCAAAACGTAATTTTGATAATGAATAATTACTCATAATATTTCTTAAGACTCGAGTACTTGGAATACATAAATACTCGCAGTTTAGTAAAACAATGTATTTTAGTGCATGCTTGATGAGTGTGTTTGTACAAAAAAAAAAAAAAAAAAAAAAAACTTGAAAATGAGGCAAAACAAATTTCTCATTTTAATTATTCTTTATTACCATATTTAGTATCTTTATACAAATATACACTAAAAATAAGTTCTGTATATATTTCACATGACTAGTGTGAAGAAAAAGGTTCGAAAATGCGAAAGAAGGGGGATTAAATCCGAATAATTTTTTGGGGGTACGAGCATTTTTTAAAAATTTTAATGTTTCTCAGTTATTAAAGATTGATGATTTTAATTTTGATGTTTGATGAGATCATCTGTAAGAAATGTGTAATAAATGCTGTTGCATCAGGCAGATAATGCTGCTAGACATTTGTAAATGCCAAGTTCTAACCTAAAACGGAGAGTACTTTCATCACTGAAATTTATTTCAAGTTGTGTGAAATCACCAATTACAGATGGTTAACATTCAGAAGAAATGGATATAAGAGTTTAATAGTTGTGGCTTCAGACTGTAACTCAGCTGAGTAAATGAATACATGCTTAGCATCATTGCATAAGTTAATGTCCTCCAGGAATTTCACAACACTGTGTACCAGATTTAATCACGTTATTCCATGGTGGCAAAAATATATCACTGAGTTAGTAAAAATCGAGTAAAGATAGGTTCAAATATAGATTTCTGCACTTTTTAAGCAATCGATCTTAGAAAAACTGTTAGTTTCTTAGATAAATTCAGGTCCGATTTTTCGAAAAGACTTATTTTTTTAGTTAGTGACATTATAAGTTAACCCTTTAACTGTTAAGTTATTTTGATGATTTGGGTACACAAATTGTCAAATTTTTTAATTGGAAAAATCAAATGTTTAGTACAAAATAAAATATACTTAAGTAGTTAAAAATTGATATTTTGAAGTATATGGGTAAAATTTTTAAAGTTTTGTTTGAAAATGTCACGTCCGAGAAATACTCAGACGTGACATTTTCAAACACCAGTGCTGTGCCCGAGATAATCTCGGGCATGACAGTTAAAAGGTTAATAAGTTTATGTAATATAGATTATGTAACATTATGTATGTTAGCATATATATTGCTATGCTGTTCATTTGCTGCTCAGGTATGTCAAAAAATTTCAAGTCTGTTTCACCATATCTTCTCAAATTTATTCTATATTTTATACTTCATTTATATTTTTCTGAAGAAAAGATTCCCAAAAATACATAAAGTGACATTAATATATTTTTACCTTGAAAGTAATTTATATAATTCGTAAATACAGAATTCTATTTTGAATCACGCAGGGCTTCATAACCCTTTTTTTTTTTTAAGAAAAAAATTACACCAACATACCTATTCATCGCAAATACTGTTTTTGATATTTTCATATTAAGTGCTTTTTGATTTATGTAAATCGGAGATCAGAGTATAAGTGTCTTTTAATGCAGCAGCATCAGGATTAAGGAGGTTGCAAGATTTACAACGTTCATTCATCTGATTACTTTACCTGAAACGGAGATTCTTTTTTTTTTCTTTTTGGAAAAAGGTAGATAACTTAATTATTTCAATTGCTATCAAATTTACCCTTTGACAAAATGTCTTCGTTCTGTCATTAGTTGTATATAATTTTTGTTTATGGTGATCTTGAGCATGGGAAATAGTTTTCCAAAGAAACTGTTTCGCTAAATTGGCTAAATATGGAGTCGAAAAATATTACAGGTACAGTTCTTTAAGTCTTATAAAATAAATACAAAACAAAAGGTGATAAAAAGTCCTTTCTCTTTCCACTGTGATTCGCTTCATCACTGGGATTTATCACATTTTCAGTTCCTGGTAACACACAGCCCTCTTTTTTGAATTTGTTAAACTTGCAATAAGCTACTTGGAATTCTTCACGTTCCAGTACCATCTCCAATGTCAAGGCCACTCTTTAGCGTTCTGCGTACTGTAAAAAGAAACGGATTTAGCTTACAAATTCAATGATATGGTAGATTGTCTAATCCTTAAAAAAAAATTAGAATTGCTTGAAATCATATATTTATTTTATTTCAATTTTTAATTTCATTTTTTAACACAGTAAACTCTCTCATGGTAACAACAAACCATAATCAACCACCTCTGAAATTGAAAAGTTTTTCTGAGATTTTCTAAAAGCATGCAGGAAAAAGGCAATAATTTTTTTTTTTTTTTTTTTTTTTTTTTTTTTAATTTCAGATTTTAGAAGTCACTCCAAAGGGTTTATTAAGGTTTTTTACTCTCTCACTGAGCTTGCAGTCTACCAGTCAGTTGTTACACTCATTCCTACTAACCCATCTTTTTATACACCTTCAAATTTTTTACTCACTCTTTCTAAATTGTGACTACCCATATGCTCCTGAATTGTTATTGTCTAAAATATTAGTAAAAGCACTATTATTGAATTAGGGGTAGGGCCGTCGGCCCAGGTACCCTGGTGCTAGCACCATTCCCTTGTGAAATAAAAGTACCGTTGCCAATCCGAATGGCATCATCTATGTTCATTCTTCCATCATTTGCCTGAATTATTGATCATTCACCATCAAGAGAACACTCTATAAAGAAATCCTTGCAATCAGTCATCTGTACAATATATGCTGCTATATTGTGGAAGCAGATAATATTATAGCTTTAGCCAGAGCTTAAATTGTGCATGAGCCTGGCTCCGGTATTCCTAATTTTTGGGATAAATCATAATTGTAGGCAGAGTGCACCGGAGCCCTAGGTAAGAAAGCTCCGGCACTTCTTTTATGTAACTGAACAACAATTCAGTAGAAATTTGGCAAAAAATAAAATTTTCGAGACTATAAAATTATATTAAAAATCGCTTATTAAATTTTAGTTTATTTCTTTACATTTTATTTTATTTTAATCATTTAATTACTTAAATCTTTAATTATTTAAGTAAATAATAATTAGTTTTTTTTAATTAAATAATAATCGATAAATAGTAATTTTATTTATTTACTTTTATTCCTCTTTGCTGACTGTCTTCCATAGGGCTTCGGTACTTCTAATTTTAGAAATTAAGCCCTGGCCTTAGCAATGCTTGAATGTTGTGCTTGCTTTCGAAAAGAAGCTGCATGTTTCGCAGTGGCATGTGGATGAGATGTCTGTCATTCATACGGCTTTGCATTTCATGATCCTGTGCCAGAATTTCAAATCTTCCAGTTCTCTTTAGTCCATTGTTTCTCGATCCTATCACGTCCATGGCATTACGTTTCCTAGGAACATTCTCCTTCATATAAACTGATAACGTCTCTGCTAGAATGTTATAATTTACTTATACGGTGTCCTTTGATGTCAAAAAAGCCATTCCTAGTCATTCCTAAAGGTACACTTTACAGCTCACTGACGAAGATACAATACTTATCTGGCTCTAGCAATCCTTGAGTAATCCTCTTAGTGCAATCGTTCACAGGATGCTGCCAAATTCGGGGCGCATTTACTCTGCATTTCTATGTACTTGCACGTCAGACTGGTTTATATTCTGCACAAGTTTCATTTGATTTTATTTTTTTCATGATGTTGCAAAAGCCATAAACAGAAATGTACTTGTTTTCTGCAACACCTTAGAAATATAGCATTGAAATGCCACTTGATCCGAAAACAAAATTCAGAGACTCATTTCAAGGGTAAGGAGCAAATGTTAAAGAACCTAACATTCTAAGTATTTTGTAAAATATGGCTGTAATAGATTCTTACACGGTGGATCTTTCGTATTCCTACGAGAACCTTATATTTACGCTGATATTCAAACTTCAGAAAATTTTCATATTGTTTAGATTTTCTCGAAATGTATAAACTATGTTTCCAAGAAAAAACATAAAGCTTTATTATTGAATATGCAAGCGTGCACATACATGTAGGCGAATTACTTATGAAAAGGGTCGTTAAAAGCACACATGCAATACCCGTGCTTTGCTCGTATGACTTTCGTGATGTTTTTTTCATTTATTTATTTTTGGCAACATTTTATGAAATTCAAAAGAATTCGGTTACACAGAAAAATCACTAAAGTTTAGAAGCTGGGATGAAGGGAAGAATTGTCAGGAGATTAAAAGCTGGGTAATCTCAAATTCAGATTGCTGGACTTGAAGACACTGACTACCAATAAGTATTTGGACACCTATGCAAATGACGATATCCGTGGTCCTAAGGTATGTCACGGACTCCGCCGGTATATATTGTTTAGGAAACAGCATCGGCTTTAGTCGCATGCAAGATGCCTCGCAGTTCGGAGCTCTCTGATTTCGAGAAAGGTATAATTATCGGGTATCACAAATGTGGCCGATCCTTAAGGGACATATCTAGCGATCTGAAGTACCCAAAATCGACAGTTGCCTATGTGATTAAGAAGTGGAAGGTGAGCGGTGATTATCGGAATGTGCCCCGACTCGGCAGACCAACGAAACTGGGAGATAGAAACGGACGAGTGCTGTCCAGAGAAATTCGGAAGAACCGCACCCAACCGATGACCCTCATCTGCAAGGAGTTTCAACAGGTATCCAGGAGTATTGTTTCAATGAATACCATTAGTAAGGAAGCACATCTGCTTGGTTTTTGTGGTCGTGCTGCTGCCCATAAGCCTTTGATCACAAAGTCCAACCGCGCTGCTCGGTTAATGTGGTGCAAAGCACATCGAAATTGGACCGTAGATCAGTGGAAATGGATTCTTTGGAGTGATGAATCAAGGTTCACCCTTTACCGTTCGGATGGCAGGGTCTGGGTCTGGCGTCTACCTGGAGAACGTCTCCTGCCAGAATGCGTCGTGCCAATAGTCAAGTTCGGCGGAGGTGGAATTATGGTCTGGGGGTGTTTCTCCTGGTATGGGCTGGGACCCTTGGTCCCCATTCATGGTAAGCTCAACTCCGATGCCTACTGCACTATTTTGGATGACAATGTGCTTCCTACATTGTGGCAGTTTTACGGGTTGGACCCCTGTTACTTTCAGGATGACAATGCCAGTTGTCATGTTTCGACGTTAACCAAGGCTTGGTATGGTGCCAATGGAGTTCATTGAATGGACTGGCCTGCCCAGAGTCCAGACCTGAACCCTATCGAGAACCTCTGGGATGAGTTGCATCGCCGAATTCAGGGGTGCACTACCCGTGCAAAATCGGGGAAGGAACTTCTATGTCTTCTCCAAGCCGAGTGGAAGAAAGTACCACTAGCTGTCATACAAAAACTTGTGGAAAGTATGTCCACGCTGTAATTACCTCTCGTGGAGGCTCTACCAACTATTGATTTTGAATAAAGTTAGTTTTTCTTTTGTATCACAGGTGTCCAAATACTTATTGGTAGTCAGCGTATAACGCTCAGTGCCTTGTGAACCTTACGGAAGCAATTTAAGGATACTGGATTCGTAGAGAGAAAGCTTGGGCAAGGTCGTCGTAGAGCCATAATGGTCGATAATATAATGGTGATGACGAAAAGTGGATAAATTATTTTACCCTTTTATTTTACAACACAACTAAAATTTTGTGCAACAATGAGCAGTAAAATTAACAAAATAAATCGACCCATGAAATTAATTGAAAACTTCACTGTACACTACATTTAGGGTAAAAACATTATTAAAAATTTCAAAAGCATCAATCAGATGGCGTTCACGCCTCACATAGGTTTTTCTCTTTGCGTTTTTTTAATATAAAATTTCAACTTCATAAAGTAAATCAACTATCAACCATCTACTATACTTTTCGCAAAATTCTTTTCAGACAGACATCAGTCAGCATCTTCGGTAGTTTTAAAAAGTTTTTTAATTTTAATATTTTTACTTTTCGGTCTAATAATTTAACATTTGCGAAATTTTAAATTAAAAAATCACACACATACGTGAATTACCTGTCTCGAAATAAACGAGAAATTACATAAACAGATAAATGACTTTGGCAGTACTCGAACATTAAAGAGAAAAATTAATATTAAGTCATTTAAAGGACCTAATGAATCATTTAAAGAATAACTAGGTCATAATTGCCAATCAAGCTTTTATAATAAATTACACCTTACTGAAAACCAATAAAATTCATGATTCGCAAATGATTAACTACTTTTTTTTTTAAATTACAGTTTGATTTGTTTACATTTTACGTGATTTGTGGGTATTAAATAATATATGTAATAATATCAATAATAAGGGCCCAGGGAAGCTGACTGTGATGCCGAAGGGCCTGAGTTCGAATCCCAGAGAAGGCATGGTTGTAACTGTCCGTCCTTTCATAGGAAAGGCGCAGGTGGCCCACCTATTAGGTGCCTCCATAATAAAGAGACCACCACATCCGGCCTTGTATACATTAATGGACTGGGTTACATTTATAATCGTTCACAATCTGCCATTAGGAAAAAAAAATATCAATAATAAGGTTATTTTAGTTTCTTAATTAATATTCTCAAAAACATCTTATTTTTACCCTAAAAAGGACGTTAGTCTCGAAACAGCATTTTGCGTCCAAACACTTAAATGCATTGTATCACTTTTCAAACTGTTGCCACTAAGTATTATCTCCCTCCATTATATTAAATGAAATTAAATAATGAAGCATCTGCATGAATTTTTCTATGTTTCTCGCACTGAGAAAAAACAATGGCACCTACAGGCATCAAAGTTTGAATAACGTAGTCCTCCACCCGAACTTTTACACCTGAATGTCCGAATTTTGTATTTCATATTCTGAATTTTTGAGTACGAAAGCAACGATTTGAAGGTGGGCAGTGGGAACACTGCTGAGAATAAAACAGTTTTATCTCAAACGAGTATTAGGTGCCTCCATAGTAAAATGGCCACAATTTCTGGCCTTAGGACTGGCTAATGCTGAAATAAGGCAAGTGTCCGCTATTGGATTAAAAATAAATTAATTTTATGTGCCGTAATTGAGCTAAAAAGACTGATTGCACTAGCCACTAGTTTGCATATTGCAGTTTTATTCAGCTACTCTTATTTGGCAACATATTCAAATTTTACACGGTTTGGCTTATTTTTGAGGGAGTTATCTTTATTTTTGTGATTTTTCCTTAATTTATGGTAACCAGTGTAGTTTAATGTTTTTTGAGGGCATTCCTAGCTATTATGAATTGCAGATAATCTGAGCAAAACCGGTACAGATGCTCAATCCCATATGTTTTAAATATCAAAATTTCTTCACTGCACAGCAAATACTGTATTTGACGACATATAAGACGTACCCTTATTTAGAAGGCCACACAAAAGGAAAAAAAGTTTCAATAATCCCTGCAACAGCGCGGTACCACAATAATTTAAAATGTGGTTTCTTTTAGTTCTTATATTTCGTAAAAGCCAAATAAACAATCATTGAATGCAATTACCAAACGTATTTTTATTAAGGAAAATTAACAAATGCCAAGCTATTTTTTTCTGGTAGGTGGTGGACCGAAATCTTGCTGCTGCTCTGTTTCCATGCACTTTCATGTAGTTTAACACACCTAGTTTATATTGAATTGTATAGCTTAATCTTTTGTTTGCTGTAGTCATATTTTCCAGGGTATTTTTTTTTTAAACAAACAGTTTTAAGCACCGATACCGACACATTTATACAGAGTAGCACCGATACTGACACATGTGTCAGATGAGTCAAAGAAAGTCTATGTAAAGAAGGAAAGGCTCCATAGACATAATATTGACCGTCGAACCTGTTCCAACTTTGACATCAGCTTCGAGCTTTGGCGCTTTTTGGCGACAGATATTTCACGCATGCGCAAAATACACTCATGTCCATAAATTAAGGATAATTTGGAGTCATGCGGAAATCGAACTCTAAAATAAATATGTCACCTGTAAAATCACTACACACATCTTCAAGAATGATATGCAAATTTCAGGAAGTAACCAGATGGTATGTCACAATGACACCGATGGTATGTCACAATGACGAGAGTGTAAGAGAGAGTGATACATAAGGAATACAGGCAAAGAAGTAAAATTGTTCGCCGGTGCTTTATAAGCATTTCAGTGCAATAACCGAATAGTTATGACACAAAGGACGCATTTGGATGATTTTTTACGTGGTAGAATTATCGCCCGTCTGGAATGTGAGCGTACCCAACTGGAAGTATCAGACGAACTTGGAATTGCCCAGAGTGTCATCTCCAGGCTTTGGCAACAATTCCAAGATGATGGTAATGTGAGTAGATGTTACAGCACAGGTCGCCTCAGAGTTACAACGCCGAATGAGGACCGGTATTTGGCAGTTACTGCCAAAAGAAACAGGCCGAGCACAGCCTCAGACCTGTCTCGTCAGCTCTCTTCAGCCACTGGTACAACAATTTCAAGGCAGACCGTGTACAGACGCTTAGGGCAGATTGGTCTATATGCTCGTAGACCTGTCAGATGCGTTCCACTTACTGCAACTCACTGTCGCCTGGAGTAGAGAGCATGCATTGTGCACACCGCAACAGTGGGCTAGTGTGATGTTTTCAGATGAGTCCAGGTTTAGCTTGCAGTCTGATTCTCGCCAGACTTTCATATGGAGACCTCTAGGTACCCGTTACCACCAAGAAAACATCATTGAACGACACCGTTACGGTGGTGCAGGAGTGCTCGTTTGGGGTGGAATTATTCTGGGTTCCAGAATTGACCTGCATGTTCAAATTGGAACCATGACAAGCCAAATCTATCGGGACGTCATTCTGGAACAACATGTACGTTTGTTTCGGGGCGCCATGGGCGCACAATTTGTGTTTATGGATGACAACGCCAGTCCTCACCGTGCAAACATCGTAAGCGAATGCCTTCAATCGGAGGATATATCACCCGTATGGACTGGCCAGCATTCTCACTGGCCTAGAATCCAGTAGAGCACGTGTGGGACATACTTGGCCGACGAGTTGCAGCCTGTCAACCTACTCCTACATGTCTACCGGAACTTCAGAGAGCATTGCTTTTTGAGTGATGTAATATCCCCCAAGATCAGATCGATAATTTGATACTCAGCATGCCTAGCTGTTGTACGTACTGTATTGCATTGTCTGGGAGACATACAATGTATTAACAATCATACCAACCATGCAATATTGGTTTTTTGTAAAAAAAATTTCTTTTTTTTTTCATATTTGCTCCAGGGAGAAAAAATCGCTATTTTTTTAATAATATCAAACATATAGCATCTTTTTTTGCTCTTTACCTTTTGTTTAATAAATAAGCTTTACAAATAAGTCAAATTTGTTTTGCTTCTAACTCTTCCTTTGCCTGATTTTGCATTATCCTTAATTTATGGACATGAATGTAATTATGGCAGATGTCTAGACCTTTATCTGGGCTAAAAATAGCATTCAGTATTGCAAGTTAATCTGTGTCCTTCACGTATAAGATGCAGGTAACTTTTTTGGGACCAAATTTAGGGGAAAAAAGTGCATCTTATATCTGTCAAATACGGTACATCTTCTTCTTTAGTCTAACCATTCAGCAAACTTATCAAAATACAATTTAACATGTATGGTATATAGTCTTTTGGCTTTGATCCATTACACTGCTAAAACAGAAACAGCCTGCACTTATGAACTGTGGACTGGAATCTAAGCGACCTGGCAGGCAGTACCAAAGGAACACATCCAAAGCCTCTTTAAGTGGCAACATTGAACTTTTAAGTCTATGAGTGTTTAATAAAAATTCATTTAATTCGTATAAGACACAAAGCAAATAGAAAACAAATTCGAAATACAAAATTCGGATTCGAGTTGAACATGTTCGGAAAAAGGACTCTGCGATACCAAAATTTGGTGGCTCTACGTACCGCCGTTGCTTTACAATACGAAGAAACATACAAATACACATATATGCAGATTCTTCATTATTTAATAATAGAGATTATCATTACTGAGGCATAGTATAAATTTTGTTTAAGTTTGTTAAGCACATTTTCGCTTTAGAACTCGTTTCAATGACTATTGGAGAACTTACATGATTTTCTATCTGCGTATCGAGCTTTCTTCCTTGTTCTTGGCTCCGTTCTGTGTGGCTGGGCTGTAGCTGTTTTGACCAGACTTTCCAGAATTTCATCGTCTATATCTGTCGTGCTTTCATAAGGAGTTGAATATCCACATCGTTCGAGCATCATCACAGAATTGGGTCGACTCAGAGTTCCACCTAAACCAAACAACGAACGAATGGAAAATAGCGATTTAATTTTATTATGCTATTAATCGTTTCTTAGAAAACTGATTTAGAATTCCTTTATTTGTAATGGTATTCCTCAAGGGAAAACTTAGCATTATTAAATTAATTAAATTCAGAAGTATTTATAAAATAAAGGTATGGTTACTATATTTGAAATATTTTACTTATTTCACTTATAAAGTATTTTCTCCCTCCTTTCTTCATGCCTTTGTGGTGTAACGGAAGCACACTCGCTGCATATTCGAGGTTCAGATTCGACTCCCAGCGGGGGCTTTTCTCATTTTTCGTGTTTTCTACTTCAAAAAATCCCTCTACTATGGCCCCCAAAACTAAAAAGATGGTGCATGATGATGCTTCACCCCCAGGATATGGCGAATGGGTCCTCTATTCCTCAATCACCCTTTAAAGAGGAGGTGTATATAAGGTATTTTCTTCCTCCTTTCTGCATGCCTTCGTGGTGTAACGATAGCACACTATTTGAGAGGTCCAGGTTCGAGTCCCGATTAGGGCATTGCACAATTTTCATGTCCCCTGCGTCAAAGAAAAAAAAAAAAAGTCTAATGCCTCTAGACACTATAACTTTTAGTTAAGCTTTCCGATCAGTTTAATTTATTTCTAAAAATTGCTTATTTTTCTTTTATTTTTTTATTTTTTTTTTTTCTTCTTACATGATATTTTAAAGTTATTCTGATTAATTGTGGTTTGAGTTCTACATTTTATGCATTTCATTCTACAGTAATTATCTTTGTTTCTTTTGTCATGACAATCTATTCTATTAATATAATTCTTTTTACATTTTCGATTTTCAGTTTTGAGCTGGAAAGAAATTAATGCCATTGTCATAGATGACTTATAAAAGCAGTCTAAAATACCCGACAAATACAAAAGTTGCGGGTTCATCAAAAACATGAAGCAAATGCAACTGTATTAATTCTGCACTTTAAAGTAGCTATAAAATCTTTTAAAAATAAGTAACGAATGCAATTTAGATTAATTCTATTCGAATTGAGAAACTGCATTAGGAGTCATTTTAACACTGCCACATACTGTTGTTATTGGTGAAAGAAATTTCAGAAAGTTTAAATAATAATAATTTTTATTAAAATTTATATAAGGACTTTACTCGGCAAAGAAAAGGTGCAAAACAATAAATATTCTTTCTATAAAACATGAATTAAATAATGATCAAATACATTTTGGAAAAAAAAAAAAAAAAAAAGGTGGAGGAAAAGAAAGGATTATTTGGTTTCAATAAATTCAAGAAAAATTAAATTATGAAAAAAAAAGCTTGAAAACGAATGTAACGACTAAAAAAAAAGTGTTTTATAGTTTTAAAATGAGAAACACTGAAATGTACATTTTTAATAATTCAATCAAAATAAAAAAATAACGTGAAAAGTATATATAAAGCAAAGCAATTAATATAAAAACACTTTTTTTTTTTTTTCCTGAGTAGGAAAAATTACTGTAATAGCTATGTTATGATATGATAAATATCTAAGCGATTGGACAAGCTCATTTTATGTTAAACAAATATTATGTTTGGAGTTGAGACTTCTTAGCTGCTTGAATTTGTGTCTTTTCTATCTGCAGCTATGTTTCCGTTAAATAGACTGATCTTCGAATGAAGGCTTTAGATTAGAAAGTAAACAGCTTTATTAAATTTTACATAATTAAATAACTGAGAACATTCTGCTTTGTTAGGCAGAAATGAATAGAATTTCGTATTCTGTGTTGAATAAATTATGAAAAATTTAGTAAACTGTATAAAATTTTTCAAATAAATAAAAGATAAAGACAATTCTGTTATGTATTAGGAAAGTGGCAGAACATGCTGTGCTAGTTTGTTTTTATCTACTAAACCAGGGATGGGCAAACTACGGCTCGCCAAAACGTTATATACGGCCCGCAGATATAATTTTAATTTGTCGGTCCGAGAAAAGAAAATTAAAAGAAATATACATTTATATATTATATATCCAGCTCCATTTCTATTTTGTTTAAATATTATTGGTTTTTTTTTTTCCCTTTTTTTCAAAAAACTTATGATCTTTTTACTTCCTCTACTTTTGTTCTACAAAACATAAATCGATGGAAATAGCAAGCACAGACAGCTTTCAATCGGTAAAGGGTTAAAAGTGGAAGTTCTTTATTAGTTACAGCTGTAGATTGGCACCGACAAGAGTTATCTCTTTCTCAGGGACATATGAGAATTCAATATAGATGAATTAGACCTCATATGTGACAGACTGATCATTTTTTTAAGCTCCGGGCAGCGGCTTTTTCTTTTGGCGCGAGTTTTAATATTATTGATTGTGTATGGAAAGATTGTGGACATAAGCACCATTGTGAAAAGTGGGGAAATTAATTAAAAGTATAACGCAGCTAGTGCTTGTTTGGGTTATTCGTAAAATATTTCAATGCCAAAATGGCTACTAAAAACGTAAAGTTGATTCAGAGTGCTGTGCTTTTACTGATGAATGGACCTGGAAATATTTTTTTACCATTGTAAAAGATAAACCATTTGCAATGAGACTGTAGCAGTCTTCAAAGAATATAACATTCCCCGTCATTTCACATCTAAGCATAAGAATTCCAATCACGAAGCAATGTCCGAATATGAAAGAAAAGAAAATACAGAAAGTCTTTGTAAAAAATTATCAGGCCGACAAAATTTTTTCAAAAAGGTAAAAAGTATCCAAGAGGCAGCTACACATGCAAGTTACATTGTAGCATCCAATATTGCTACAAATAATAAAGCTCTAGGTGATGGGGAGTTTGTTAAACAATGCATGCTCCAGGTTTATGATGTTTTATGTTCAGATAAGAAAAATAATTTAGAGACAGTAAGCCTATCTCGAAAAATGGCGACTTCTAGAATCAAAGACATTGATAAAAATTTGACATCACATTTAGAATCAAAGACTGGCCAGTTTAAATTTTGCTCCATAGCTATGGATGAAAGCACTGATATAAATGATACTGCTCAATTAGTATTATTTATAAGGGGTGTTGATGAGAACTCTGAAATTACCGAGGGACTGGCGTGCATGCGTTCTTTAAAGGGAACTACATTGAGATGCGATATTTTTCGTCTATTTAAGAAAGGGCTTTTAATTTAGAAAGTGTCTATAACAAATATATGTAATATTACGACCAATGGAGCACCAAATACGACAGGGAAAAAAAATCTTGATTTATTGGACTCTGTAATCAAAACTATTCCGGGAACAATGTTGTTTTTCTACATTGTGTTATACATCAAGATGCTCTGTGTAAATCTGCATTGAATATGAAACCCGTGCTTAATGCAGTCGTGAAGCTTGTAAATAATATTCGATCTTGTTGCTTACTCAAAGGCAATTTCGAGATTTTTTCAGTCTGTGCAATCTGAATACTCTCATGCACTGTATTACATGAAAGTAAGGAGGCTTAGTGCAGGATATGTTTTTGAGCGAGTTTGGAAGCGGAAAGACAACATTGTGTCGTTCTTCCTTGAGAAATAGTGTTCTGCGGAGTGCAAAATATTAGAAGATATAGAATGGCTTTTGTAATTTGCATTTTTCACAGATCTTCTTTGTCATATGAGCAACTTGAATGCCAAGAGGTAAGAGAAAAATCAATTTATCAACGATATCTGGGCCCATCTCAAAGCTTTTAAACTAAAACGTAATCTGTTTGCTGGGAAGCTAGCTAAGAACGACTTGTCTCATTTCCTGAGGTTAAATTCAATACCCTCAGTAAATGAAGAGAAGCTTAATTATGAAGATGGCCTGAAAAAACTGCATTTTGAGTTTGAACACAGATTTCGAGATTTCATAACAAATTTCAAAATGAATTGGATATTTATACCATGCCTTTCAATGTAAATTGTGAAGCAGAAGTCAGATTTGCAGCCTGAATTAACTGAATTGCAATCTATCAATCATTTCAAGCAGTTGTTTATAAATATGCCAAATTGAAAATTTTACAAATCATTATCGAAAGCACGTTTCCCAAATTTAATATCTCATGTCCAGAAAATCAGTGCTGTATTTGCTTCATTTTATATATGTTAACAAGTGTTTTCAACTATGAACCTTAGAAATAATTATTTTAGATGTAGACTGACAGATAAGCATTTAGCCTTGTTCCTTAGAAGCAGTACATCTCACCTCGAACGTCAATGTAAGGAACTTTCAAAAATGAAATTGCAATTCCATTCATTTATTAACATATTTAAGTTGTAATATTTGTATATTGTTTTTAAATTTCAAAAAAATTTATCTTGGCCCTGCAAAAAAAAAAAAAAAAATTTTTTTCGATTTTTGGCCCATCCCCGTACAAAACAAATCCAGTTTAATGATATATTTCGTTAGTGATATCGATATGTTTACCTGGTGAATTTTTGGGCCGCCCTCTCAGATTAATCATTGATCCCCACTGTGTCATTTTAGCTTCTTCAGCATCCGACTCTCCTAAAATCTGCCTGAGTTGCCGGTCCTCTTTCTGTTCTTTTGTAGGAGCACGGAATTTATCCATCTGCAAAAGATTGTAATACATTGTATAATTAAGAAATACTAAAATTTCTAAATTATTAAGACTTTTTAATTTGTACCATATATGCCCAGTCATTCTATATATCTAAAATATTTATTAAGACCCCTCATTTGAATTATATGCTCAGTCTTTCCGTATATAATGCAGAAAAATAATTCTACTTCCTAATAAACATTATTGATTGTTAAAATCGATAAAAGATGGCAGAAACCAAAATAATTTTTTTTTTAAATTTACTTCTGTGTACAATAAAAAGGGATAAAATTTCTTTCATTGTATAAATTCCATGATCATGACCATTAGATTTTACAATGCATGCAGCTGATGATGTGCACACGAATTAGAAATTTTGTAATTTATCTATTATTAGATCTTATCTGTACTTTTGAGGTTAGGCCTGCTTAGTACTCAAGACATTCATGATATAAAATAACATTAGTTGCAAAATATCATTAAGAAATCCAGATAAATGATTTTTTAATGATTAATTGTTGTTGTTACTTATCCTAGCTAGTTAGGATAGACCAGATCCATGAGTCCAAGAACTGTCAATAAATCGAAAACGAAAGTAGGTCTTTTCAATAAGTCCTCTTTTTCAAGTCCCAAACAGATAAGATGATGTTCAGGAGTAAAATTACATTTCTTACAAATAGGATAGATCTTATCCCCCCCCATCAAATTTAAGGCATTCAGGTGTCCACTTAGGAGTCTCGTCAAAGTAGTCTACTGACACCAATTATCCCCAAAAACAATAGCACCTCCCGGCTGACTGCCAATGTACCAGTCATGTGTAAAAGGATGATTCCAGGAAGAGGTAACAGTAGATTTAGCTCTAGGGCACATTTCCAAAAAGATCAGGGTGTCAGTGGTCAGAGTCATTGAAGTGCCTTCCTTAGCTAAACACTTAGCTACCTTCCTTAGCTACAGCTCACTGAGGCCAGTATGTGAAAGGATCCATTGCAGATGTACATTATGATGGGAAGAGAGTTTTTATAGAAAAGCCAAAATAGAGAATGAAGTCTTATCACCAATACAAATCCCTTTTTGCAGATGCTGGATAGAACTGCGACTGTTAGTCAAAATCCAAATATCTTTGTAGGGAGTGCAAATGTATGCAGGCTTAAGGCCCTTGTCAGTTGCTATAAGCTCATAATGAAAAGCAGAACCATGATCAGGGTTTCTAGTCTTATAATGCTAAAGCTATTAATAGGTCTTCTACTGAAGACTCCACTATTGCAATCCGTGTTCATTTTTACTGCCGTCAGAATCCAAAGGGCATTAGAGGGCCATAGAAATCTGATGGGCATTAGAGGGAATGAATGTCATTTAAACTTTCCAGTGCAATTTTTCACAGATAATCTGGTAAATCCATTGTTTGTTGGTGTAAGAGGTTATGTGTGTGTGAAAAGAGACGTTAGAAAGTCAGAGGGGGCCAAGGGGAAACATTTGTCCCCGGGCTCAGCTTCCATTGGGAGCCAAATTGATGTTACGAATTTTTAGAATGAAATGTTTTCCACTCATGGCAAGCAGGAGGGTTGCGAGATCTTCAGTTGTCCCCAGGTGCTAAAAGTCCTAGCTAAACCTCTGTAAAAAGTCCTTCCAGTGGGTTGATAGTAAGTTTCAGAGAATATCTCTAAACAGTTGTATCTATTATACCCATGAGATAAGCCAAAGAAAAGGGCCTGTTTCTTTTTAACCTTTGATTAGAAACTCGATCATGAAAAAGTAATGAGGTACGGTTATGAGTACCACAATTGTATAGTTTATTGAAGTATTTTTACAGTTTAGTTTTGCTTCTCAAACTCAATAGTTGTATATCATATTTAAAGAGAGTTATTTCAACCGGTAGCCATTGCGTAAGCCAGCATTTAGATGGACTGCACTCAGTTTAGCCAAATTGGTTCAGTCAGTCACTCAAGTTTAGTCAAATTGGTAGGAAAGGCACAGAAGTAGATCTTCGAACCATATTCCAAAATGGGGCTTATCAGCGACATAGATGTAAATCTGAGAGTAACGAATCCGCCCCGCACTCGATACCAGATATAGACTTAAAGATGTCAAGTCTTTTCCTGCCCCTCAAAACCAGATTTTCTATGTTTTTATTACTCAGCAACTCCGGATCAAGCAGGTGGCCGAAATATTTATGATGTTTAATATATGGTAAAGGCTGATCCAGCAGAACAATATCCGGATGATAATTATATAATTTTCGATTAGTGGTAAAAAAACCCACAAAAGATTTAGAGATGTTAAATTGTATTTTATGGTGGGTGGCGAAAATTTCAACTTCAGAAGGGATGCAATTGATATTATTTTCAATCACTCCCAGTATCTGGGCCAGAGTTTCATAAAATGAAATCACCAGCAAATTGTCCAATTTTACATCTCTGGGTAATAAATGGTGTTATACTGATAATTACGAAATAACCCATGTCAAGTTCTGATTCATTAGTGACTATGTTATGAGAAGTGATAATGAAGAGTATAGTAATGACCTCGAAAGTGATAGTGGAAGTGATATCTTCATTCATTCTAAGAGATTACGAGTTATTAGTGATAGCAGCGATGATGATGAAGTTACTGCAAGTACCTCCGATGACGATATTATTGATGAGTTTTTACCCATGGATACAATTTTTTCGAATGAATCGAATACTTTTTCTGAAGTACCTGGACCAAAGCATGCCCCTTCTCCTGATGCGAAACCAGTTGAATATTTCAATAATTTTTTTTCAAGTATACTAACCAACAGCGGCGTCTTCGCATTCTCGATACAAAACAAGAGAAGCGCTATCGCGCTGCGGCGTATTTCTGGCATACATCAAGTGAAGCGCGGCAGCGCTTCGCTGAACTCAAATGGTTAATTCATAAAAACGTTAGAAAATAGCATAAATCTAAATAAGCGTATATATGCCATTTTCGAGGAAAGGAGCAGAGGAGAATAATCATTTACCAATGCTGAAAGCGGTGTGCAGGGAGCAAGAAAGGCTGAGAACCGCTGTTTAGAACATCTGGTAGGGGATACAAAAAGTTTCGTTAAAAGATAAAATTTTGATAGTACTTCAAAAATTCAGTAAAAGTAATAAAAGAACGAAAGAAATTTTACAGTCACCTACACCCTGTCACATAATTCTAACAATGTCAAAAATCCATTGTTATTTTATCCTTATGATAACAATAGGCTGGGGTTAGAGCCGTTGCAAATAGTGCAGATTCACCCGGGAGTGGGGGCAAAATTTAGGAGTAGCAGAGATTGATTTCATCAGGTGGCAAAAGGTGTAGTGCCATCCCTTATCGTTAGCATAGTTTCTAACACTGAAAAAGACTTTTGCGTGCATAATTATAGCAGTATATTGTTTACTCTATAACACAGTTCCCGATTTTATATTCCCATTCCCACTCATTCAGTTTCTTATTTTTACAATTAACAGTAGACGCCGCTTGATGCGATCGCGTTTAAAGTCAGCATTCGTATAATGTAATCGATTTTCCGACGTCCCGTCCTTTTGTATACGTAAACATGGAAAATACGTCGCATATTGGAATCAAACAGTTCGATTAATATGAGCAAATGATTGTAGAATAAATTCTATAACTAAAATACAGTCGCCAAATGAAGACCAACAAATTAAAAAAATTACCAAGTGACAGAAAAATGTCACCAAGTGAGGGACTAAGTCACCAGATATCCAATTTTCGATTTCAGTCAACCATTTAAAACTAGGCAAAAAAGCATACATGTAGACTTTGAATAACTATTGCTTTTGAAAAAAAGGCAATCAGACACAAGTCTCTAGCAAAAAAAATACTACAATTTTTTGCCGTTGGCTATTAGTCTCGAGACTGCATTTTGCATCGAATCACTAAAAGAGTTGAATGACTTTTCAAACTGCTGCTATCAAATATTATCGCTTTGTATTACTATTTTAAGAAATTAAAAAATGAATCTGCATGAATGTATACGTTTCTGACATTGTGAAAAAGCAACGGTACCAGAGTCATCAAATTTTGAGTAACGTAGTCCTCCATACGAATTTGGAGTTTGTTTTATTATCTATTTCATATTTAGCATTCATTGCAAATTTCAAAGGGAGCAGTGGCAACACAGCAGTGAATAAAACATTTTTCTCTTCTCGCGAGACTGCTTACCTGAAATTCTAAAGATACGCTGCTTTTAAATATTTTGAGCCCAAAGGAGGCATTAGCTCAAAGCGCTCTCGAAATGCGTTTCCGCTATGTTACTGTATGCGGAACCCTCGTTTATAGCATCGAAGATTGTGTATGACCTTATGGCCTTTGGTGGAATTGTTGGTTCACAAGAACGTTTGTTATACAGGACAGGATTTTGTTGCCAATAAAAAACAATAAAACTTCTACAATACTGAATAAATCCATCCTTTCAAGAACAAAATTACCCAAGGTATCTTTAGTTAAAATATGGGGGGGGTCTGTATATGGATATTGCTAAAACAGCTACGCGCATAAAGTTTTCAGATGCAAAATTAATAAGAGGTACTTTACGTCGGGAAGACATTGATATAAAAACAATGGCTTCAAATTATCATTTTTAAAATGCTGAAATTCGAAATTTTGTATTTAATTGGATCCAGCTTTAAACGGGTCCTTAATTCGATGTACTTTCACCGAATGAGAGAGGTTAAGACATGTAATCTTGACAATTTTTTTTTTTTTTATCAAAGTAGTATATGTTTTTCTCTTCCCCTCAACAAGATAAAGATAATTTTACTGATTTAAACTTTCTTTATAGGGTTCGTATAAGAGCTAAATTCTGTATATTTTTACTGAAAAGCGTTATAGTCAGAAACTGTAACGCATTTGATTTGTTTCTGAAACAAAAATCATGACCAACAACCGTTCAAAAGATATTCGATTGTATAATCACTTTTAAACATTTCCGTATAGATCTACCAAGCACAAATGAGTTTGAAAGTACAAATAAATGGCAAAGACACATGTATTTAAGGCAGGCAACATAAATTAAAGTGCTGCAGAAAAAAGAGAGTACGATATTTTGCTTGGAAGAAAATATGCTTATGGAATTTAGCTTTTATACGAACCCTATAAAGAAAGTTTAAATCAGTAAAATTATCTTTATCTTGTTGAGGAGAAGAAAAAAATAAATTCTACTTGGATTTAAAAAAAAAAAAAAAATGTCAAGATTCAATGGAGATGGTGGAAAAAAAGAAATTAGAAATATATATATATATATATGTATAATAACCTTTGACCAGTTATTCATGCTTTTAATAATTTGAATAGTTATAAGAAGAAAATAATGTATTTTCATTAATTTTTAGAGTTTATCCCTTTTTTACTCCTTGTACGAAGTAAAAAGGAAGTATTGTAATCACGAAAAGTTTCAGGCAGCATATTTCAACAAAAATATCCATTTTGACCGCTATCAAATGCAATTTAACTGTATATAAGAACTGAGTAAAAGGCTCTTTTCATTCAAAAAAAAAAAAAAAAAATTATAAAACTGCTTAAAAATGAATTCTGAAGAGAATTTTTCGTAGCATCTGTATGTACATATCTCGCAAAACTCAAAAACGAGTAGCCTCAGAACGTTGAAATTTTGTATATAACACTACTGTAACATCTAGATGTGCACCTCGTAATTCGGTTGCAATCGGACTCTTATATGTTTGTAAATTGTACATTTTTTGCTTTAAAAATGAATTTTAAATTATTTGCAAGTATCCCGAAGAACGGAATCCAAAAGTTTCTTCTCTTCTTTCTATAACCTTTCGAGAAGACTTTCGGATAGAGAGATTTTAGCGTCCCCAGTCTGCTAAGACCTACAAATGTCTGTGTCTTACCTGAGGTTTGAACCTTGGAATAATGACATAAGCTTTCGGTCTCTGCTAAAAGGTTTTGATGCAATGATTATGTTATCTATTCAAAGGAAATAAAATCTATCAAAATAGGGTTACATTTGTGTACGCATCTTTTTTTTCTTTTTTTTTTTTTTTTAATTTTAGCCCAAAGGGACGGACTATTAATCTCGAAACAGCATTTCGCGTCTATTGACTATAAATGGCCGTTTCACTTTTGTAATTGTTGCCACCAAATATGATCGCCCCTTACTATATAAAGAAATTAAATAATGAAGAATCTATATGAATGTATGCTTCTTGCATTGTGAAAAAACAATGGTACCAAGAACCATCCAATTTAGAATAACGTAATTCTCCACCCGTTTCACTTATCAAATTGTTGGCACCAAATATTATTGTCCCGTACTATAGTTAAAGAAATTAAATAATGAAGAATCTATATGAATATATGTATGTTTCTCAAAATGTGAAAAAAAAACAACGGTACCAAGAACCATCCAATTTTGAATAACGTGCTCCTCCACCCGAATATAGGTACCTGGAAGCCCGAATTTGGAATATAGAATTAGTTTTATTGTGTATTTCATATTTTGTAAAATTTAACGAATTTTTTATTCACAAATTCAACAATTTCAAGGTGAACAATGGCAACACTGTACAAAAAAATATCTGCAATGCGCAAGACTGCCTAGCAGAAAGATATGCATTTTTTAAATATTTTTAGCCCAAATGCTCTCAAAACATGTATGTAAATGAAAAATATGTCTCTTTGGGCGTAATATAAAATCTGAGAACTTTTAGTTTTTTTTTTTTTTTTTTCTTTTCTTTTTGAGATAAAACTTGTCTCTCAGACGTATGAACGAAGACAACTTCCAGTTCACCTGTGACAGACTTGTTTATAAAAACTGAGACAATATCAGCAACCGAAGGCATTAAATAACCGAACCAACTAGACCAATCAAATACTCAAGGACAGCATAACAAAGAATGATCGAATGATATCGGCTTGAGGTTGAACAAATCGACTTATCTAGCTATGTAGTAGTAATGCATGTACAAAAAGTTAATATGAGACAAAATCCATCAAATATTTAAACAAACTGGAGAAATGTTAAAAAATCGTAGTGGCCATTTATGTTATAGCCATGATTTACTTCCACATTCGCCTTTACAAAGCCCTGCATTAGATGCGCCTAGCAGTAGGTACAACAAACGTACATGATCTTTCATCTTAACTGGATTACCCCCTGAAGTTCTGTCAGGTGAAACTTTGAGTAGGAATTACTCTTTCCGACTGAGCTTTTGATCACCTCCTACAGAAACAACAGCTTTCTCGAGCAGGACAGTTAGAGTAATTTGAAAGTCTGAATTTCTGTTTAAATACTTTCTAGTTTTTGGATGCGATATTTTTAAGTAAAAGAAAAAAATTACTTACATCTGTAATCATCTTTCCTCTGGTTTTGTTTCTCTCCCTGAGAGCAGCGGCTTTCTCTATCTGTTGTTGCACTCTTTCTCGACAAGTTCTGTATTCCAAGGAAAACTCGCTGATGATTTTGCATATGGTGTGGACTTTGGTCTCACGTATAGCGTGGGATGGAAATCCCAAGTAAACCATCAGCTTGTAGAATCTATTGAAAGTGCAAAGACGTTTGTTGCTAATCATGTATTTTACAATTGAATTGGACACTATAAAATTACATCAACATGTCATCGACAGAGTTGAGACTTTCGAAAAGTTTTTTTTTAAATGGGTTCTCATGAAAACAAATTTTCGTTATCCATTTCATGCTGATACGTGAATTCAGTATATAAAATGAAAACCAACTTGATTATAATTAATTATTATAATTTTTGCTTTTGCATAACTTATGCATGAATTCGAAATCTTCAATACTTCCAGTACCAGTTAGAGTTGAATTTTTTATTAATTATCAGTTATTTTATTATAGTTCACCTGTATCCTAAAACAAACTGACCTGGTGATTGCTTTATTTCTCTCGAAATACTGCATAGAATGCTATGCATTTTATGTTTACGCATTGTAATATAATTATTTCACACGGAAAGATAATTGGCTTCCTGGTAAGTAAGTCTGTGCATAGTTGGCATTTCCGTTTCTTAAAGTGAAAAAATAAAATTTATAATCCACCATTTTAGGTGTGGTGAGTCTTCTGGATTTAGTATTAAATTTATTACCTTATTACCTTATAAAATAATGTAATTTAATATTCGAGTGTGCTGCAACACCCCTGCCCGGTAATAATCGGCCTCATGGTTAACACAGACAAACAAAAATACAGTTAAAAGATTAAAAAACAGATTAAAACATAAATGCAGTTAAAAACATCAAACCCAAATTCCCAGTAATGATCTATTACTATTTATAAAGTTCATCAAATCCTCTGCAAATCTAAACTCTTTATTGCGGGTTACCATGTTTTTCTCTAACGTGTTGCAATAATACGTAGTCTTCGACGAAATGTCGTGCCGGGGAACTTCAGCACTACAAAAACTACAAAGACTATTAGTTTCCTAATTAAATCTTTTCCGGTATGCCGAGAAGCGCTCGTGTTTAGTAACTATTTGATTGTAATCAAAATCACACATCATTCTCATATTTTTAGAAACTTCAAAGTTCAACAAATAATCTTTCCTTTTTCCAGAAATGTTCCATTTCTCTTTCCAGCAATCATAATAGAAATCTTTGATGTTACCAATAACAATTCTTTTTGATGCTTGAACATCGAAAGCATCCCCGGCATCACCTATAGCAATAGCCAAAGAGCAACCCATAGCCTCTTTGGCCAACATGTCGACCGTCTCATATTCGAGAGATACAGGATTCCAGTTTCCGAGAGGGCAATGCGCATTTTTTACCTCTCCTGCTTCAAAGAAACTTAATGACTCTACACTCTTTTGAATTATATCTTCTAGGCACAGTTGACTCGTTAATTTGAATTTTGATTTTGCCATTTCCTTTAATTATATCACTGTAAATTAAATTGGCTTCCTACTTACTTTTATCATTTGGCTCAGTTAAAAAATATTAATCTTACGGAACGTCAAATTCCAGTTGTTTGATCTGTGCGGAAAGCAATGCAACCTATAATAATATGTTACTATATATCAAACTCTTTGAAAAATTAATAAATTTTATTTTCAAAAATTACACGTTTATAAAATTTGGCAATTTTTCTTCTTCTGTGGTTTCGGATTGTACGTTTGTTTTGTACTTTTTTTAGTGACTTTGTGCAATAACACCATTCACATTTACAAATTACTAGCTTTTTTTTTTATATTTTAAATTAATAAAATTTACTTCATATTATTAAAAAAAAGTGACCTATTTTGTTTACTACGTAGTTAATTTCCAGTAACTTTCTTGCAGCTATATCTTGATGATTTTGCAAGTTTTATAATAAAATTCTGTAAGGTTCCTATTATTTGAAATAATGAATTATTTTGCGTTTTGGATCTTCTAGTAACTAATTCCGGTTACTATCAGAGAGCATTAGTTCCAGAGGTATATGATCATTTCTTCTCCTTATTAATACACACATTTTATTTACAATATAATACAATGGTTTACAAGCATTATTGTTTAGGCAAACGCCTTCATCATTATTAGGCTTAACACCTTCGATCTCCATCTAAACTAAAAGCAAGTTACAGAACATCAACAGAGACAAGATGTTCGGAGCACCACCTAACGGCGCAAACGATCAATTTATAACAGATCTTTACTGTTACTTCTCGTTCCCGATTCCCCACCATAATATAAATGAGGTAGAAAGAGATAGTATTTAAACCATAATAGTTGGTGGTAATATATATATACTATATATATATTCGTTTTCTTCTTACTTAGGCAAGATTTTACTTCATTTTCTTTACGTATAGATTTACTTATCAAAGTGCTATGGACTTTGTTCCTGCCAAAGCAGGTAGACTTTGTGTGTAAATAGTTTTTACTCTTGTGAAATGGTTCAATGTACTACAAATTGTGTTTTTCATCATTTTACTTACCAATTATTGCTTATCAGAAAAATAATTTTTATGAAATTTTATTTTTATATTATTGGATACAACTTACTCGATTCTTTCAGTATTTAAGTCAAGTATCATATATTGGTAAAGGCCGTTAATGGTTGATTGCCTCTAAGTGATAAGACATAGACATAGACATAGTATTTAAATGAAGGTTTCGGGGCTTTAAGGCAGAGCGTGTTCTGCCTCTCGAGGCCACTTTATACAGTAATTGCCTACATTTAAATATCTACGCCAGTTAAATTTGCGAGCCAGCTTCGCGTTAATTTGATTTGTAAAACTTTGGGATACCAGCTTAGTTTTAGCTTAAAATTACCTTTACCTTATCTCACTACAAATGGTTGGCTGATTTGTAAGCACAAGACGTTCAGAATCTCAATGAATAAAAAGGTTTATTTAAACCTTCTCAGAACTCTGTCATTGAATTCAGACTCAGTGATAATCTGTTAGAAAATTGGATTGTACATCAAAATGAAGCTAGTATATTTTATTAGTCCGATTTCAACTTAATAATGTCTTACCTGTTCAGAACTCTTCTATGAATTATTCCTAGTACTACGATCCTTTCGGCACAGTCATTTAGAAAATCACATAATCTGAAAAGACATTAAGAATACATAAAAGGGTTACATTTAACTATGGTAAAATGGGTTAAAACTAAGAAATGTATTTTGCTGTAAACCAAGGGTACTCGATATTAACCTCAAAAGACTGAAGAGAATTTTCTAATAAATTAAAAAGTCACCCGAGATTTGAATAAAAATTGTTTTAATGAAGAAGCAAATAAACGCGGAACGTTTTTCAGTTTGGTAACAAGAAAAAATGCTATTCGGAAATAGGATCATCTTGCTTATCTCTCACACTAAATAATGAAGAATCTGTTTATATATGTCATATACATGTATGTATGTTTGTTTATCTGTTCATGATGTTATGCTTTAGGAAAGTACTGCCTTAGGAAAAAGGCAATACTGTAGTCCTGCACCCAAACATGTGCATCTTGGAATCTGAATCTTAAATTTCTTTTTCTTTTTATTTCATAGTTTATGCGAATTTAATGAAGCTTTGGTAAACTCAGCGATTTGAAAGCAATTTGTTATCACCGTTTGAAATAAAACATTTTTAATTTCCGCGTGCCAGTATTCCTCACCAGTTGCCATTCAGCAAATTGCACATTTCGAATATAATCAATAACCTCAGCTATTTTAAAACAATGTATTGCCAGTGCCGGAAATAAAATACTTTTATAACCCAAAATTTAAACAGCTTACAAATTTAAGCAGGTATTGATCAACGAAGTAAAAATAAAAAAGCATAAACTCAGTTTTTAATAATACAATTTTTAGCTTTCAATCTGATTGATTTAAATCCAAATATGTTAAATTCATATACCGAACTAATATCTTTTATAGATTTTTTAATACATATATATGCAGGCGATATACATGAGTTTTCTAATGTCATATATAATTAATTCAGAATCCTTTTTTAAAAAATTTTATTGCCTTTTGTACTTCTTTAAAGATAAATCGTCCCTGTGGGTGTTATACTGCAATCCGAAATTTTTAGATGCGTTTTTTTTAATTCTTAGGAAGATTCTTCAGTATTCATTATGTTTAGTAATTCCAGTCTATCCTAAAGTTTACGATACTTTGATATTTTTCGATGTTCTGTGAGCAATGTTCATCAAGTATTGTTGCATAGGTAGAGGGGGAAAAAAGGAATTTTTCTACAGAAATAAAATATATAACGATTGCTATAGAACGAAGTTTTCCCTATCGTAGAATTCTTGAATACAAACATAAACAATAAATGAAAAAACACGATCTAAAATATTCCATGGATATGTTCCACAATTTAAATATGAAATTTTTAGACTATTTGCTCTTGAAGAAAAAAAAAAGTTTGGAAGGAACTAGAACTGCAAAAAGAAACTACAGAAAAAAAATCTAAGGAACAAGGTAAAAATGAAGACTTATTATGATTAGAAGAAATTAAGATCTCTGTCAGTTGAACAATTTAGAAGAAATTGCCTTTCTTTCTCCTTCCGGTATGCCTTCGTTGTGTAACGGTTAGCACACTCGGCCCGAGTCCCGGCGAGGACATTTCTTCAGTTTCCTGACATTGAAAATTCCTAATGACTGTACAGTGGCGTCCGAGCTAAAAGGTGATGGATGATGATTCTTTGTCACCAGGTTTTGATGACTGGATCCCCTAATTACCAGTCGCTCTTTAAAAGTGGGGAATTTTTTCTCCCACCTTTCTAATTATGCAGATAATTTCAGGTACGAACTCCTGGAAGAAGACTTTAATCTCCGCTCGTATGCTATTCATCTTTTTGCATACAATATCTAAATAATTGGCATATTCCTTTCCGCTGTTTCACATTTATTTTATTTTCTCAGAGTTTCAATTCTCACAGGCATGGGCCTAATTTACTTCTAATTTCCTTTACTCACAGAGTTTAAAGATCTTCATGCGATTCCGAGGTGAATTTTCGTACGTGAAGGTTGTGCTTCTTGAACTGTCATATAAGTATCCTTGATCTTTTTGCATTCTGGCAGCCAAAAAACCAGCAGATCGTCTTTGGAGTAGGCCTGATAGTGATAGTGAAATGGACCTGAATCGGGTTACTCTACCTCCTATAAGAATAGCGCTAAATTTAAAAACTTTATCAAAACTAGCCCAGCTGAGAATAGTAAAACCCAGCAGAAGGAAAGAACTAAAATTAACTCAGAGAAAATCGTGACAGCGACCCCCAGAACTAAACACTTCGAAGCCATAATGGAAAAATATAAAAACATTTTCCCTAACTTAATTAAAGGAATAATGGAAGGAGAAAATTATGTACTCAATGAACAAAAAACGAGAGGCAATTTTCGAGGAAATTCTAGGTAGCTCCCATGACCGAATGACAGAACAAAGTGATATCTTCTGCTTCAGAGAAGGAAACAAGAAAAATTATTTAGATAGTGTAGCAGACCACAACAGACTTTCTAAAATCATCAGTGAAGCTAGGAAAGAACTTGAAAAGAAAACAGTCGCAGATGCAGCTAAAAATAATAAGGAACCAGAATGGAAACTCCCTTACAAAACCTGTAAACCAGATTTAAATTCTACGGAATTAGAAGAAATTGAACAAACAAATCGTTTCGAACCCCTAAATAATGCAGGAGAAAATGATACTATGGAAGCAGGAAAGAATGAAAAATTGTGAACAAAATTCCGCCAATTGTTATCACCCAGGAAGATTTAGACTGGATTGACCTTCAAAAAGTCTTGATTGCCCAAATTTTAAAGCACGAGTATGAAACACAGATGAAAGAGCGCAAAGTTTATCTAATTACTAACACAGAAGAAGACCATGCAAGCGCAGTAGAATTTCTAAAAAAGGCTAGCATCGAATTCCATACTTAACAATTTAATTATCAATCAATCAAAATTACTTAAAGATATGCCATGAAATATTCCCGAAAATGCAATCCTTGAAGATCTCAAAAATAGAAAATTCCCAAAATCTTTCAAGATCCCAAAATTTTTAATTTCATTTGAGAGATGAATAGTATTGCCGACAGAATTAAGCACTCGAAAACTAGCACAGAAAAACTAGCTGTAGCCATCGAAGCAGTGAAGATAACTCTTGAATTCGCAGAAACAGAAAATTAAGCCTTGATGCGTTTTTACTCTGAGGTTCCTATTGTTCTCACCAGATGGCGACACATCTAACCTGCTACACTCCCGAAATCTTACACCGAACTGGCTTGTCTCGCTTTATCTTTTCATTTTTGTTTGTATCAACTTCCTCACAAGTTATGCCTTTCACCTTTGCTAATTCTTTACAGCCATTTGAACTTCATTACTACTCTTACCATTCCCATGCTATACTCAACGTTTGTAAAATAGAGTAAACTGCTACATTGGGATAGTGGTATGACCCAGGCGTCCAATTTCATTGAGCTTCGCTCAACGAGACAAGATCTTCATGCGCGGTTTGCCCTACCCAGGCATAATTAAGGTGCTGGTAAGAGCATGATAGATATCGCACCGAGGCCAGCCTAAGTATCAAAGTAGAGTATAAGGCCATCGTAAGTATCAAAGTATCCCTCCTTTCTGCTTGCCTTCGTGAGTCCGTAGCACACTTGGCGTTTATTCGAGAGGGACAGGTTCGAGTCCTGGTGAGGGCACTGAACATTTTTCACATCATGTGCTTCAAAACAACCTAATGTCTCTACAGGAGAATCAACCAAAACTCAATAGAGATGCAGTGTGCGAGTCAATACGTTGTCGAGATTTTTATCTGTTGACAAATACCAAGTTGTAAAAGACACTACAAACATTGAGGAAAGAAAAAAAAAAAAAAAAATTGTTTTCATTTACACACATGTACACGTTTTGAAAGCAGTTTTGAGAGCATTTGGGCTAACGATGCTTTGGACTAAATATATTTAAAAACAGCATATCTTCAGAATTTCCTACAGACAGTCTCGCGAGCTGGAGATAAAAGTGTTTCATTCCGTTCAGTGTTGCCGCTGCTCGTCTTGAAGTCGTTGAGTTTTTTAATCAAAAAATTCAGTAAAGTTTTACAAAATATGAAATAGATAATAAAACAAATTCAAGACTCAAAATCCGGGTTTCTCGGTGTCTACGTTCGGGTGAAGAACCACGTTATTCAAAATTTGATGGCTCGAGATACCGCAGGTTTTTCACAATGCGAGACATACATTAACGCAGATTCTTTAATATTTATTCATTATTTATTCTTCATCATTCATTTCTTCATTATTAATTTATTTAAATACAATTCAGAGCAATAATATTTGGTGGCAACAATTTGAAAAATGATTCAACACTTTTAGTGATTCGACGCAAAATGCCCTTTCAAGAATAATAGTCCTTTTGGGCTAAAATAAAAAGCCATAGAGTGAAAGAAAAAATGCCAAGGCATTACCAGAAGAATATCCTCTTTTGTATTAATTTGGTATAATATCCTTTGATTTTTCCTCATTCTTCGAAATTTATATTTTAATAAATTCATGCTCACCTAGATTTACTGATGGGTATGCCGTCGTGTTTCGTCACAGCTTTCAAGTATTCCCATGATGCTTTACATTCGGCTTCCATTTTGACTAAGTTTTGCGCTACTTCATCAAAATCTGCCTATAATGAAAATAACATTATCAGAAACGAATTAGAGTTTATCAAAAAAGAAGAATATCAGTTTTATGTTACAATCATCTTTTATTTTATAGTTAATTTAGTGCTAGCAAAAAAAATGAAAAATTACGACCTCATCAGCTTATGCAGAACCCAGGACTCAGAAGTAATTCTAAATGACGAGCAGCAAAGGCCGTATACCACTAAACTGTTCAGAGACCTCACCAAGTTGAGAACTCCCGGCTTAAGACTACTTCCTTCTTTTCTACTTTTCTATTAAAAAACTACTAGGGACTACTGTACTGCTTGTCTAACATGCAAAGCTGTTGCCTCTCCTCTCTTTTTTCACACCAGCTTTCCCATAGCTGGATGAAACTCAATGTTTTAGCTGCTGGAGATTTAGCAGATAAGTTAAGCAAGAAAGTGCTTTAAGCGGTAGTGTAGTATGTTAGAATAGTATTAAGGTATCAAGTGCAAAAATATCAGATGCTGGGAGAGAGAAATCAGATTTATCTGAAGAAGAAAATTCCAGTTTTGTTTTACTGCTGCTTTTAAGGTTTACATCTAATCTGCAAGTTTCCATACAAATTGGAATGGTTCAAATAAATTCATTCGCGACTGTGAATAAATGAGAGAGGTAAATTACTGTATATGGCCTGTAGTTTCACAGCAGAAGTGCCTAGGTAGATGGCTACGAATGGCATTTGCAGGCATGTTTTGCCTGTAGAAAAATTTGAAGGTGATGGCGTAATAATGGCCTTATTCTGTTTCTCCTATTTTGTACTTTCATCCTTAATTTGAGTCTCTGGATTTTGTAATCTGATTTCTTTCAAACATTCAGGACGATAACGATACTCCCATGCTGTGATAGTGGTCTGGGTAGGTCTTTTCTTGCTTCAGCCATAAAATTACATCCGTTCACAAAATGATATCTCTGATCTTGCCTTCTTTTTTTTTACCACTTCAGTTATGATTTAAAGAATACACTAACTTCAAAGCCCCAATCCAAATGAGGCTGATCATATGTCTTTAGGCTGATCTAGATTCTTGGATGATACAGAAGTAATCAGAAAAAACCCTTAAAAGCCTACCTTGAATGAAAACGGCTATAATAACAGCTAAAGGATAACTGATCTATTAATAATATCGCTGTGATCTAGAAATGTCAGCAACGTGTATTGGATGGCCTTTTACCTAGTGCATTTAACACAAAATAAGCTGTATACAGTCAAAAGTCATTAATTCGGACACCCATAATTAAGACCTTTACGGCTGCGAATACGCGTGGGCGCATGCGCATAATACGTTTACGCATGCACGTTTAATGTATAACGGACGCTATAAGCTAAGCTAAAATTATCTAATTCAGTTAATGTTGCAGATTGCGTTGTTCCTTAATCTTTGAATTGGATCCGCTTATTATTTTTTGCAGACTGTTAGAGCAGTTTTATAAAAGTAAGCTTGAACTTTGGATTATGTCAAATAGAATTTCCGATATATATTTACTAATATGTAAAGGATCTACAAAGCGAAAGTATGTTTCCATCAAACAAAAAGTGGAATTGCTACAAAAATGGATAAAGGCATATCCTTTGTTTCTCTAACCATTCCGAAATCTGTTTATCAATTTCACGCTGCTCTGCGGCGGGTGGGGGTGGGAAACGCCACGCCGCGCAATGAATTGGAAGTTGATCTGTCAGCACTATCCTTATCATCAGGGCAGATGTTTTTATTTCATTTGGCTTATAATTCCTTTCTAAATGTAGCATTTCATCTCAATGTACTCCGTCTTTGATATGATTTAAATCAAATTCCTCGTCATTATAATTCACTTCCGATAGCGAAGAAAGTGACACAGAGGTTATCGAAAACGAAAAAATTTCGATTGACAGATTAGTCGGTATTGTCGACACAGCAATTATAGGACTTAAACAGCGGAACTTTGTAACTGAAGAAAAATTTATGTCTGTTTATAGAATTAAAGAGAAAGTATTATCACATAAAGCGAAGCAACTCGAACAACTTACATTGAAAGAAATGTTTAATAAAGTAAACAAATAAATATTGAGCCTTTTTTTTTTTGTAAATTTTGATACCCTTTAGATCATAATTGTTCTTTATTTCATAAATTACGGTTTCATATATTTAAGTTTACAATTTCTGCATGCCATCTTACAAGATTTAAACTGATGATCTATAATCCGGAAAAATCGATAATCCAGAATCGCCGAAGTCCTGACAAGTCCGGATTAACGACTTTTGACTGTATTTATTAAAAAAAACTTCATGGTTGCATTAATAAAATAAACAAACTGATTAATTAAAAATTGGAGAAACAATACCTTGGAAGCTCGCGTGACTGCGCCAAATTCCGAGTAAAGATTCGTAGAATCTGGGAATTTCTCCATCACAATAGTGCAGATGTGATGAAGCAGAGAATGCTTATGGATAGTATCTTTGACCTCTGGAACTTTACTCAAATACTCGATGCTGAATCCCTTAGCCTGAAAGAAAAGATAAGAATCCTTCTAGAATAGGTATAATTATAAAAAAGGAGTAAACAGATGGACTGTGCATTAAGTTGACAGTATGTTTAAAACCCTTTGAAGGGCACTGGTATATAATATATACCGGTTGTTTGCCAATTTTTTAACCTCCGAAAAAATGCTAATTTTTCTACACCAAAAGCTATAATTGTAAGTGTCTAGTGTTTTCTTCAATTCTAAATGGCAGCATCACCCCTATGAATGCTCAATATTTTACAGTATGACATTAATATACCTCGTTCCAAGGTATCATGTTGGAAGATTGATAATTCTATTGGAGGGAAAGAAAAAATTCAAAATCTGCAAATATATGACGTAACACATGCTGAATCTTATATTTTTACTTCATTCAGTCAGAGTGATAATTAACAGACGATTATTTATATACGATTTTAAAACCGGATATAATATATACGGCGCCCACACTGAGGGTACCACGCCAATAGATGCAGCACAGTCTTCTCCTTTTCTACTCTGTGACATGACAGAATTCTTTATTATTGTAACAGTTGTGATGTAATAATTTTTCAGATTATTATAAGTCATTTAGGATTAATATTATGTTCATGGAGATGGGGTTACTGACGCTACGCTAGGACTGAATACAAGTATATTAGTTTCATTTATTCTTTTTGTGTACTCAAGTTTCATTCGTCTGTGTATAGCTAAAATTTTTATTTCAACACTTAATCCCTTTCCCAAGAGAAAGACTCATCGATTTCAAAATTTCCGTCTGGGGTCAAAACTTTACACAATTGTCGGGGTTAAACGTAGCATGCTAGTCCCCAAAAGACACTTGTTGCTTCCTGTTTTCCAAATCCTAGAATGCAAGAAAATGGAAGAGGTGATTGACAACCAATTGTCATTGGGAACACACCTTGTGAGGTGTGATAAGATCACACAAAGGGAAAGCTCACTTAAAATGGAATGTACTGAAGGTCCATCTCATAGTGTATCACAAAAAATGCAGTTTGAAAGCTGCTTTATTCTTTAGAAATTCTTTTAAATCCTTTGTTAATTTCAGATGAAAGACTAGAGAAAGAACACAAGAGAAATTTGCGCTCTGGTTGATACTAATAAGTTGTTTCCGAAATAAATTTTCACAGTTGGTGAAAGGAGAAAAAATATTTCTAAGGCTCGTTTTAGATGCAAACTAAAATGTATCCAAAAGTTGAAAAGGAGCTTCTCAAAGCTCTTATTCTGATTTTCAATCCCTTTGGTATTGCTGCTGTAACCAAAGGATCATAAATTTCAAATGATATCCTATGAAGCTAAAGGGATTGAAAATCCTATGAAGCCAAAGGGATTGAAAATCAGAATAAGAGCTTTGAGGGTATCAGATAATAAATTGTTTAATGGCGTTTCTTCCTGAACAAAAGGATATATTAACCTATATTTACAAAAAATAAAAAAAGGGACCCTTACGGTCCTCGATGATCTAAAGTGTGTGTGCGTGGAGAGGGGCCGATTCTTCGTACATAGTATGAAGCATGGGTTTTTCACATATTATCTAAAGCATAAAATAACTTCAAATATGCAACATACTTTCTCAACTGAGTAGTGCTTCATTTTCCAATTTTTAAATTTTCGGCTGAGTTACATCTGCTGTAATATTATACTAGTCAGTTACAGCATGATACGATTTACACATGCAGGTTATATTGCTAATTTTTTTTATAAAAATAGTTGAATTTAAATCAAGTTGAAAAGCATTTACCATATTTACATAAGTATGTCAGCTGGGTTGAATATCAAAGTGCATAAAAACATAAATTTTGTATTTAAAAAAAAAATTGTCTTAGACTTACATAATTATTCAAGCACTCATCACTACAGACGCACATCAAAAAACCCAAATTAATTTAAAAACAAAGATACCAGTTGGGCTACCTGGAAAAAATTGTCTAGAGGGGCGCTGGTATAAATATATACCGGCTGTCAAATTCAGGATTCGCTCTAGATTTTTTTAAGTCTCAATTTGTGCCTAGGGTCATAAGTTATAGTTCATGCAAATTACCACAGTTTAAATTATTTTATATAGCGCCCCTCAAAGGGTTAAATACAAAAATCTAAACTTATGAAAATGAAGAAAATTTTAAGCATTGATAAATTTTATAAAGAATATAATCTGTTTATTAGAAGGTAATTTTGAATTACAAGTAAAACCGAAGCTAGGAATTCGAAACTTTCTTCCTTTGGCTATCTCACTGGTATTTTATTACCTAGTGCTGAAATTTTGAATTAATTGTGCAATTTTCATGGTATCTATCATATAAATTTCTTAACCATTTTTGTTCGGTTCAAACAAGATACATTTTTATAAAGGAATATATAATTTTATTAAGAACTAAAATGGTTTCCCCACTATAAATGGCAACAGTCATTTTGAGTTGCATTATTCATAGATTATATGAGAAAATTCCAACACAGTCAGTTGATCGAGACCAAAGTGATTCACCTTTTCCCTCCTTTCCTCCCCCATGTGAAAACAAGGACGAATTTTTCCCTCTCTGGGGGACTAGTTGAGTGTTTGTTGTTTATCACTGAATGTGTTGCAATTTATGTATTATTGCGTATTCTCGTATTATTACGTTTTTAGTAAAGCAAAAGCGAGTTTTCTGCTCCGAAGTTTACACTTAAAGTACTGAACATGTGTGTTACCTGTACATTAATTTTTAAGAATGTTTTACTCAAAAACATTTCATGAATTGATTTTTGTTAATTTTACTGCTCATTGCTGCACAAAGTTCGAGTTATATATTAATTGATCCACATTCGTTTAATCTTAATCAATATTATATATCATTTAATTCCATTTAAAGTTTATTTAATCTTACCGCCAAGTCTCAAAATGTACCTATAACTTAAAACTTGGATTTATTCTGTAATTTCTACAGAGTCGTAGCTAAGGTTTTCAGCGCCAGGGACAACTGAAGATTTCGCGCCCCCTACTAACATTTAATTCTAAAATGTTGTAACATCAGTTTGGCACCCCTTGGATTCTGCGCCCGGGGACAGATGCCCCCTTGCCCCCATCTAGCTACACCCCTGACTTTCTAGTTCTCCCATTTTCATTCCCATGTATTTCTGATCGTAGCAAAATAGTACTCACGAAATGTGTACAGATAGATATTTAACATTTTCTTGTTCATAAAATTAAGTTTTTAGGTTTATAATAAATGCATCTGTATTTTACATATAATTTTAATATTGTTGACTGGTCATAAAAATAATGATAGAGCAATTTAGAAAAACAAAAATTGACCTTTAAAAATGATTTTACTTCTTAGCTTGATGCTACTAACGAAACGCATAGACGAAGCTGCATATTTGCGAATGGACAAAAACCCTTTCTCCATTTAATGGTCCTTTTAAAGTGGTTAGATATTCCATTTTTACTGAATAAAGTCTGCAATATAGTACTGAAATTTTACGTACTTAAAAAGACATCTAAAAATTATTGATTTGCAAGTATTCGTTGTAATGAATTTGTTTTTCAAATTTGAGTATTTTGATAAAATATTAGTACTTACATTAGAATTATTGAGAAAGTTTCCTATTGATAGTACAGTAGATAGTACTGCGCGGAAGGTTTTACTTGTCTCAATTTCTACTATGGCTTGTTTCAGATCCATCAAAGGTTCTGCTACCTCCTGAAAAATTAAAAGCATATTGAAAGGATTGAAATTAAATTGGTATGATCCTAAGACTAAAAATAAGGAACTAAATAAAATTAAAATTAAAAATATAAATTATACTCTTCATCATTACATAACCGTGTTAATCATCACTTGTATGATAAAATGCAAACAATTTACAGAATTTGTATCATTGGAGGAAACTTAAAAATTTCTAAAGCATTATATGCAGTGTAATTTATTTAATACAGTATTAAAATTATGTATCCAAAGCATAAAATTAAAAGCAAAGAAATTTATCAATGAATCAAAGCGACAGTATGGAAAACTATTAAAGTGAAGTTACAGTAATTAAACATAGGTTACTCTATCGTATGAAATTCATTCTAAAATACCTAAATTGCTTTTCTTAAGACTATTATTTTTTAAAAAACTACAGCTTTTAAACGTTTTTTTCATCTAAGAAAATTTTGAATGCAAACGAATCTGATAAAAATTTTCAATCATCTAAATTTGTTACAGCTCTAAATATAGTACGTAATCCAACTGCTTGAACTGGAAGACAACCCAGTTACTAAAAGAATCTTATAGTATAAATGATTCTAAGTTAAAAGCTGTTATCAATTATGTTTATTGTAAAAAAAAATATATACTTTTAAATGTTCACATAAAGCTGCTTGAATGCATAAAATTCACGTAAGATTGCCTTTATGCCATCGTTCTTAAAGTTTCATTAAAAACTAATTTACTTTTAACAAATTAAAGTTTACATATTTTATACCACAAAATAAAAGAAATTTATACCTTTTCCATCGTTTCATAGTCAAGTCTGAAAGCCCAAAGTTTTAATCTAGCTTCCAATTCACTTATGGAAGCCAGAGTCAGAAGAACTTGCTCCGCCGAGCCCAAAGGAATGTCTGGATTGGCTTGTTGTGCCTGCATTATCTTGTTCTTTTCCTCTTCGGTCGGCATCATGGTGGTTAGTATTTTCTAAAATAAATAAATAAATCATATCAAAGAAAAACATTTGCGATAATTGTTGCTGCTGCAGAAACTCGCATGCCCAAATAAGAAACTTTTCTAGAGGTAAAAGAAACTCAGATATGCCTTATTAAGTATATAATAAGATCTATCCACCTTTGAATTCCACCTTTGTTTCCCCTTCTTTCCTTAAGTACTGTTTAAATGTTAGTTAATCATAACATTCAAGAAAGCCATTACACCAGAGGTATCAATAATTTCTGTGATAGTGCTTTGATCATCGACAGAAAGGAAAACCTATTAACGATCTTTGCGTGTCTTAGCCACTGCATCCCTTCTGAAACATTAGTTGACGTCCTGCGTGTTTACTGGTTTCAACACACGGAAGCACTGATTTTTTAAGTTTCAACATTCTTTTTTACGGAGGTGGGGCTATTTTAATATGGCAAAGGAGTAATAGTGCCCATTCTTCGATAATTTCAAACAAAATAAAATTTATAAAAACTGGATAAATTGTACAGCGATAAAAATAAAGCATTACGTTAGCACTGTAGTACCTATTTTTTATTTTGGATACAAGTTTGAGTTTGATTACTACGCGTGGAAAGATACGAAAATTTGTAGTCGTCCTATTAACATCAACATAAAAATTTTTAAGTCGACTCTGTTGAAAACTGTTTAAAATTCTATTCTTTTATGGAATGTAACAGGTTTTTATAAAATCCCGTAGTCTTTTCGAAATCATTCTTATAACATTTTTTTCTGATGGAATATTAATAACCATACTTATAGGTGAAACTATTTCATGTAAAATAAACCTACTGCCCTGATTCGCCAAAATAATCTCTTGAATTCCCTTTCAATCTATAATACTTTTACTGGCTGGAAACATTTTCTAAAGCAAAATATTTTGTTATCAAAATTAAGCAAGATTATATTTCATTAAAAAAAGAATTTTTTTTTAGTATGCATTATTATTTTTGCAATCTTTCTCGTGATCGCGTTGTGCATACAAATTTAAGAGAAAAGTTAAAGAAACATTAATATTAAGCCAGTTAATATTGTCTGCATTGGATTATTTATATTTTGACAAAACGCACGAAGGTTTCTGTTTAAAGGGATGTATGCCTTCGCGGAGACTTTCTATGGGATATTGGTTCAAATTCACATTACACATAACAAAAAGCAAGAAAAATTTCCTTGTAGCTTGTTAACCGCGATTTAAAGGTGGATCGAATTACCAGTGTTCAAGGATTTTACCTTCAGCTTCTGGAGAGTTGTCAAGCCAGTTCGAAAATATTCTACAGGTTTGCAAGCTAGATGATGGTGAATTCTCTTAAATTACTACTTTCTGAAAGTTTTAATTATCTTATATGGGTAGACTGACAGTTAAAAAATAAATGAAAATAAATTATTACTTTTTTTTAATGCTTAAAGGAAACATATTCCCTTAGGTGTGCTTGTAACAAAAAGAACTAAAGGTATGATATTTAGATCAGTTTTCCTTTTACAGCATTATCAATATATCGAATGAGTATATTACACGAGGGAATGTCATATGCTAGCCATTTTTACTTCCTTGTATGAAATAATGGAAGTACTGCAATAGTTAAATATTTCGGGATTAATATTTCAAAGGAAATATCCATTTTGACTTTTTTTCGTGACATCTGTAGTACATATGTATGTATGTATCTCGTATCACTCAAAAACGATTAGCCGCAGACCTTGGGAATTTGTATGCAGGATTGCTATAACATAGTCGTTCATCGTAGTCATATGCTTCCAGTTACAGACAAATAACTGGAAATCTTACTTCTAAATGTGGTCTCGCGGTTCTTATGTTTATATTTGGCAAAATTTTATACACATTATGTAAAAGTAAAAATACAATAAGTTAGACTCCTGTACGACAAAAATTGATCGATATATTTATGTTTCAAAATTTGCCATTTTTAATGTAATTTGAGCTTGCCTTGAGGGTTTGGTTATCTAAGTTAGAATAATTCAAGGAAATAAGTTTAAATGAAGTGTATCAAAAATGTATATGATTTTATAAGTGTACAAGGAAGTCAGATGAGGTCCACATCAGAGTTTTCACTCTTGTGAAACAGCTCTAAATGCAGGATCTGTATGTGAAGCCGTCTTGCGTTCGAACCAAAGTGTGTTTTGCTATTTGATTAAATATATTTGCTCTAAAAAGTGAATCACTATTTTATATATAAAGCATAGATTCCTGATGTGGAAATTTGTTTAGTTTGATGATTGTCCCAATTAATTAGTAACATGCTTCCTGAGTAAACGAAGAAAGTTCTGTTAATTTTTTAGGTTCAGATTTGTCTCAGTTTAAATGCTGCCTATACTATAACAAATATATCTAGTAAAGTTCGATCGCGTTCTTGTATTTATTTCGGATTGCTTCAAATTCTTCTGCGTTTTTTTAATTTATAAGATCAATTCTTTCTTTGCAGCATTTTCTTCTGAGTTTAATCTCAATTCATGGTTTATGTACAGCTTCACATAAGTTTACTCACATCAATAAATGTTCAACCAGACGCCTTGAACAGTTCTTTTACATTTTCATAGTTATGGCAGCTAATTATTATCATGAACGTGTATTATAGTTATTATTTTATTTAGTATTATATTACACATATTTCCCATTCAGTTAATTCAATTCTCACTTCTGAACTCACTTCGAGGCAAAGCAAAAATACATAAATCTCAAAACATCTTCATTAAAAATTGTAAAATACAGAAAAACATAAAACACCAGATACAATTATAAACAGTTAAAAAATAATTTTTACGACTGAATTTACAGTTTCTACACCAAAACGAAGCACTTCTGCCAACGAGAAAATAGACCAAATTTTCGGTTCACAAAAATTAAAGTTTACTTTTGAACGGACTGGGCAAAAAGACACTGGTGCGCTAACTATGTTTATTAATAATTCTACTAAGAGTTTCAAAAATGAATAATGACGGCCTCGCTAGGCTTAACGACCCTTAAACTCCAAAGTTAAAACAGTTAAAAAACAATTTTTACAATTACAGTTTCTACCCTAAAACAAGCAGTTCGGCCAACGGGAAAGACGGCAGACGTTTCAGTGCGCAAAACTGAAAGTTTGCTTTTGGTCCAACTCGGTAAAATGACACTGAAGGGGCAAAAACTGACTTAGTTCACTAGTCTGCTAAGTTTGAAATGTAAACAAATATGACTGCCAGTTAGGCTTAGCCGTACTTAAACACCTTCTAAATTGTTCATAATTCTACAGCTATTGCATGCAGATTAACAAAGGCATAAAAACCTTAAATGGAACATAAAAACAACATAATGCAATCACTTTTAAAGCAAAAAATGCACAATTTCCCAGCAAATAAGCATTAAAAAAAAAAAAAAACTGAGGTCACAGAAAGTCGAATAACAGAAAGGGTTTATTCTCTGTCTCTCTTTCTATATATATATATATATACTTTTGATGCTGCTGGTTGCAACCAAAAAGGGAACTGCACAACTACATATTATAGCAGTGCTATATACAAAATTTCAACATTCTGAGGCTACTCATTTTTGAGTAATGCGAGATATATACACAGAATATGAGATATATACGTACGAACAGACGTTACGAAAAAAACTCTTCTGAATCCCTTTTAAAGCAATTTTACAATGCGTTTTGGAAAAAAGAGACATTTATTCTGTCCTTACGTATAGATGTTACGCAAAAACATCGTTAAATTGCATTCGATTGCAGTCAAAATGGATATTTTCGTTGAAATACGATACCCGAAATTTTCCGCGATCACAATACTTCCTTTACTTCTACACAAGGAAAGTAAAAAGAACATTAAAAAAACTTTTCTTCTCAACAAATAAAAAATTGAACGAAAAGTAGCAGAAATAATGAACCAATTCCCAAAAATTTATTTTAGTCATCCGATTTCATAAGGAACAATTTACTGGAAAAAGAATTTAAATAAAATGCAATTAAAAGTAAGCGGTTGTAAATTTATACCTCAATGCCTTCTCTATTCATAATGGTGGTGTCCATTTTCAAAATAGCTGCCTTGATAGCGCCCTTCGGAGGTAGTTTTGTCATGCCGATGTTTATTGCATTTGAGCGCTTTGTGTCCAAAACTATTAGCTCACTCCTTTTGCCACCTTCTTGAACTTTCTGCATTAAAAAATCACACAAATCTTCATTAAGGATTTATTAAACATGTCATATATTTTATATTTTAGGGTCAATGCAGGCTTAATTAACATGAGTGAAAAAAGTAAGAGCACAAAAAAACTTGGAGACAAAAAATATGTTATTTGAAGCGAAAGAAAAATTCTTTCATAAAATAATAATAATGGTTTTTTATTGCTGTTTATATTATTATATATTTATTACATTATTTACAATTCATTTAAACTAAATTTTCTTCTTTCCTTCGCCATAAATGTATGCTGATAATAAACAAAGTTACAGACGAATTTTACGTATAATGTCTACATTTATTATTTAATTAATAATATATGATTAGATTTTCCATAAAGAATAAAACATGTCAGAGAGATTTATTTTCATTGCTTTCCGAAGCATTTTATTTTGGCTTTTGGGAATGTTTTAGAACTTTTCAACTGTATTCCAAACATATAATCAAACACATAATAAACATATAATTATTTTATATAAAGTAATTCTTATTTGCTGATATCTAGTTCATCTTTAGGAAAACTTCACGAATAAAGATTAGATGCCTTTAGGGATGAAACTTAGGGTTACAGCCGAAAACATCGCGGACGAAAACGTCACGGGGAAAACAACGCAAGGCGAAAAACGTCGTGCTACAAAACATCGCAGTTCTAAAACATCGTGGCACAAAATGTCGTCGAAAATAAAGCGGTTCGAAAACTTCGCAGTTTAAAAACATCGTCGTCAAAAATATCGTGGTAAAAAATAAAGTATCTACAAATCATCGCATGACGATAACATCGCAGACATGATTTTTTCAGGTTTTAATAATTGTAAATGGTTATTCCCATAATGATTTGTGAGCACAAGATGGAAAAAAGGATAATTTTTACTTTCATATTTTTTTGTTAACTAATAAATTTTTGCTGAGAAAATAAGAAGGAAACTTAAGCATAAAAAATGAATGCAACTTAATAGAATAATAACTTAATAGAATTAAATTAATAGAATTTTAAACCAACCTAGTTAACTAACAAAGGCCATTAATAAATCATTTTTATTAATGGCATTTTATAAATTACCAGTAAAAACTTAAATATTAATTTTAAGTTTTTACTGGTAATTTTTCATTAAAAGTGTAATCTATAAATTGCATTTAATTTTCTATACTTAAGTTTCCTTCTTACTTTTTCAGCAAAAATTTATTAGTTAGTAAAAAAAATGTGAAAGTAAAAATTATCCTTCTTTACATCTTGCTCTCACAAATCATTATGGGAATAACCATAAATCCTGAAAAAAGCATATCTGCGATGTTATCGTCATGGATTATTTGTAGATACTTTATTTTTTATCGCGATATTTTCGACGGCGATGCTTTTAAACTGCAAAGTTTTTGAACCGCTTTATTTTTGATGACAATGTTTTGTACCACGATGTTTTAGAACTGCGATTTTTCTCCACGACGCTTTCGTCCGCGATGTTATCGGCGGACACCGAAACTTAGATGTAATCCACATCCCTCTTAAGCTAGAAGCTTACGAGGCTCTGCACTGTTTTCTATAAAGTTGCGTAGGTACTTAAACATTCCACAAACAAGCCCTCTGCAGGAGATCAATGGATCAAGTTAATCCAAATTATGCACTGCACATATTTCTTGCAGCATTAATTTCGTCTCTCGCAACTAAAATTTTGCTCCGCTTAACTATGTAATTAAAATTAGAGAGAGTGCAAGGAGAATTTAATAAGTAATAATAGATATTTCGTTTAATAAGTTATTTGAAAAAATAAGGCGTACTCTTTTCTGGTATTTGACTAAATTTACAAGAAATGCGTTTTGTTTGTATGCAAGCAATGCAAATACCATACCTTGCTCATAATATCTTTAGCCTTGTTTTCAAAAAGGTTTTCAAGTCTTTTCACGTCCAATTCTACCGGCTTCAACTCGTCCCAAATAGTTCTCTTTTTACCGGATCTTTCCAATAGCATTGGCTCTTCTTTCACCTGCAGCAAAAAGGATTTTACTGATAAGTAACATATCAAAGAAATTTCAGTGCCATATACATTTAAAAATATAAGATTTAAAAAGCGTTTTCCGGTTATCCCCTGAAAAATTATTTTTTACCACAGTTGTAAGAAACTATATAAAGTTATAATTTTTCAACAGCTACTTCTCGTATAGTTCTCTAGTTTTTAGGCATTACCAAATTTGTTAAACTTTCGAGTATTCAAAGCAAAATGTGTGTGTTGTTTTATGATGGCAAGCACTGGTTAATTAGAAACTCGTGTAACTTAATAAAAGTTAAGAGTATCTATTCGTCTACTGCATTTTACAGTCTTTTCAAAGCTGGGAACAGGAAAAATCAGTTATGTTCGCCGTCGAATGTGAACTTAAAACTTCCTGGTTGCAAGATGGAAGTGCTTCCAATTGCACCATGAAAACACGCGGTACGGAAGGAGAAAATTCCTTGCAAAAAGTCTTACAAAATTTCCTGAATTATAATTAAATTAAATTAAATTAAAAATGAGGTGCTATGTACTGTGGCTAGCGGTGCTCTCTGCTGTATCTTTGCTGCATGGGGGCACTGAAAATACTGTCGAACCGAAAGAGAGGTTGGTAATGGGATAAAGGGTTAAGACACCTTTATATTCACTTCCCAGGATAATTTGCCTAAAATAACCTTTTCACATTTGTTTTGTCCCTTGTTAAGCTGCTGTGGCAGCGGAGTAGAAGGGCTGTTCTCCATCAAAATTGGGACGGAAATGAGCAAACTCATATTCTCACCGAGAAGGTGCTTAAGGTTTCGATCAACGACAAGTTTTATGCTCTACCTTTCGAGCGCAATAAATTCTTTTGACCTAGTCGAAATTCATGTCAAGATATAGAGAGCCACAGGTATAGAATTACCAGTGCACCTACCAAGCCACAATTTTTTACATGAAAATCAAATTCGGCACCATCACAACTTATAAAACCACTCTGGTATCGGTAACATTTTACACAGCTGTGATGTCATTTTAGGCATGTGAGATCTAATGTCAAAATTAGATTGAGTATCCTAAAGTGATCCTAAGAAACAATTCTAACATTGATGACATGTGAGGTAGCAACGGAATTCCGATTTTAAATAAGCTATACTAAATCTGAGTTACACCAAACACTGAGAAAATTATCTTGATATAGATGAAATGATAAATCAAGTTAAGATTACGTGACAGAGAGAATACATGACATTTCCATGTATTTCTCTCTATCATGTAATCTTAACTTAGTTCAGTCATGTATCCTTAGAGATTTACCGGTATATGATTTTTTCTTTGGTGAAGCTTACGTCCACTTAAATAACAGCATGGTATTGATGTCACAACGAAAGTGTAAGCAATGTCATCGTGCAATCGTATGTTTTTGTATTTTCTTTACTAGAAGACTAGCGGTATTACAAAATATTATCAATTTCGAAGGAGTCAGGAAACGGCGTTCTTTTCAAAATTATTCTGGGAATATTTTTGCTGCTTGACAAAGCGGACATTTGTTTTCTGAATTTCTTAAAATATATAATTTCCTGTAAAACAAAGTTAAAATAGTGTTGATTTTTGCCTAATTTTATTCAAGACATTGGATTACTATATGGTACCTCTCCGATAAATTTTATAACGAAGGCAGTAGATATCAATAGACTGTGTCAATTTTATATAAGCATGAGAAACGTCCAGTTAGGCATAAACGAAATGAAACCTGTACAAAGTAAAATCTAGTCAACAAAATAATTTCTAGATGGAAAATGGTAGAGCTAATAATTCAAACATAGATGCTCCGCGACTTAGATGGGACTGATAAATTCAGAATCGTAAATATGAAAAATCTAAAATATATTTAACAGAGTCTACTCTAAATGAGTACTAACCAACTAAAAATCATGGCCTAGCTTGAAATGAATTAAATACACTCCTTCTTTCATATTTTCTTAAATTAACACATCTAATTAGCAATTTGAGTCATAATACAGGGAAGACCCAATCCTCCTAGTCCCACTGGACCATATGATTATAAAGGGTCGACCCCCACAAAACCAAAACGATGGCAACCAGCGATCAGCGATTCCTCCTTTAATCTGGGCAGCAAAAAGAAAAATAAAAAGAAGTGATTTTAACCAACATATATGAACATTAAAACTGGGTCCCCAAAGCCCGAGCCCCGAGTAAAATAACAAAAGAAAATCAAAATAATTACTTCAGCAATTATACCATACTCATCAATAAAGGAATTGCTGATCAACGACACAAAAGAAAAGGAGAGAGAAAAATAAGCTAATTAACTAAAAATAATTGGGGGTTAGTTAACGAGCTAAAAATAAGGAAGAGACATACAAAACAACGAAGCACAACAACAAACATTCAAAAATCCAAAAATAATTAAAAACCTCACAGACAAACAGAGTGGCGGAAACTCTCAAGAAACATTCATTTTCGGAACAGGCACAGGCGGTCCAAAGCCATCGAGGAATTCCCAATTTAAATAACCTGCAGAAGGTCAAACCGAATTTGCTACAGTATTGCTTTAATAACATATTATTTGTATAATCATAATTCTATTTAAACAACTAATTTATTTCAAAAATTTACTTTAATAGGCCTACCACTGTCTAAATTCAAATGTATTAGTTATCTTTAATAATCATAGAAAAGAAGCTCCAGGACTGCCAATAACCAAAACTGGTAAAATTTAAGTAGCATATTTAGCAATTCGAGTATCCGTTTTTCGATTTTTGATGAGGACACAAAGGATTTTTCACTTTTTCCGTTCCAAAAGTATCTAAAAGTCTCTATAATAGTGCCCGATGTTACAATGCTTGTGATCGATGGTACAATATTACTTGGATTTAACCTGATGGGCCTCATCCCTTTTTTCCAATAGCCCTTGCAGTACAAAGGAGTGTGAAAAATTAAAGAATTCCTCCCATGTGTCCTTATGTTAAAGCAGCTATGAACTAGAAAATTTATTTCTGCCATTCGATTCTTGGTGAAAGTACTGTTAATTTTTCGCTTTCCCCATTCAAAAGAAACATAATAAAATTTACAAGCTTACCTTAAACATACTCATAATACCTTAAAGACTCACATTAATTTATAGTCAGAGAATGCTATTCAACGCAATGCCCATTTTTATAATAAAATGTTGGAAACCTCTTGCATAGATCATTCTTTGATTCAATGCTGAAAGTGAGTGAGCGATTAGTGACTCATAATTACTGCATTAAGCTACGGGAACATTTATCTAAAGGTGTGAAGCACTGAACTTCATCACTCATTGGCAAAAAGGCTATAGTAAAAATGATCGTCCCCTTTCACTCTCTTCTAACTACTAGCTTTGTATCAGCAGGTAGAATTTGTTTTTACAGTGATGCCAACACATACAGCTGTGGGCGAAGATAATTCAGTTTAACTGTAACTCATATCCTATTCGTGTATTTCCTTGCAGAAGTGCCCCTCTTGGATGCACTGAGTGTTTCATACGTAGTGTAAGTTGAAAGCCTGTAAATGACCAAAGATTCAGAATTTGAAGTACTGTTTTCGCTGAATGAATATCACCTTCGCATCATCGTCAGATCGAAAAAAAAATTTTTTTTATTCCAAATATTTTATTTCAATACCGTTAAATATAGTTGATATATTACCTCCTTCCAAAACAGCTTGACTGTCTTAACCGATTTGCTGTACTTTGGTTCATTTTGTTTATTTGCTTGATTTGCGGTAGGCACATTTCTTCTAACCCACGGTGGTGGAGTAGGCCCACTCCTGTTTAATCCCATTGCTGGAGCTGCTGGAGGAGGAGGTAGCCCACCTAGGCCTGGAGGTGGCGGCGGAGGTGGAGGTCCTCCCATTCCGGGAGGGGGAGGTGGAGGAGGAGCATTACCAGGCATAGGTGGAGGCGGTGGGGCTCCTGGGAATGGAGCAGCATTAACAGGTCGCATGAGAATGCTAACATCGTCTTCATCCCCTAAATCGGTGAAATCGAGATCATTAATTCGTAGAGGGCGTCTCATCGTTTGCATCAATTGATCCCATTGTAATTCTTTGACGCCACTTGCTGATTTTCTTAGTTCCTGACCCTGTGGACAGAAAGAGAAATTAGCAAGATTTTCAGTTGTTTAGAATACAGATAGATATAAACGCATTTAAGAGTAAAACGTAGATATTTTTCCAGTGAATCTTTTAAGATTTCTCGTGAAATTCCAGTAAATTAAGAAAGCTTTTAAAGTCTAAATAAATTTTGTTTTCTTCTGTAACCATTGTGAAGGAAAATATCAACGGTATTATGTAATTATATCGTTATACAAATTTTATAAGTTCATTCCCAACTTTCAATTATTTCAAATGAAATCTGAATATTATGTAATAAAACATGGTACTATTCGGTTTTGAGGGCCGTAAAAAATCGCCAAACTATTGTTGATGCCAGTGCTGCCAAAAATAATTGCGGCAACCCTAACGCAATAAAGGAAGTATAATAGTAATAACTATCTAAAAGATTGATGTTTTAATTTAGATGAAAGTTTAATTTCATATAATACTTTTTATTATTATAATTTATATAAAAAAGGTTGAACATGACTGAAATGAAGCATACGAGTAAGTAACTATTTCAGATCAATATTATAATTTATATAAAAATTGATAAACATAACTGAATAGATGCCTGCATCGCTATTTCGCTACCGAGTTATCGCTAAAAGCATAGTTTCATCTCTTTGGTTGTTCAAACATAATTTTCTATAATGAATGATGCCTTTTCTTTGAAAAAATTCTCGGTAAAGTGCAGAATCGCCCACGTGTTTGTTTTCGCTTTTTACAAGGTTAAAAACAATTGGATTTTTGTCAATTTTCTTTTACCTTTTAAGTGAAAATAGATCGCTGTGTACATAGATAAAGCCAAGGGTGTGCGCATTGCCATTTTTGTGCAATTCCGGGATTTTTTTTAAGTGAAAATAGGTCGATGTGCACATGGATACGGAGTATGTGCAATTCTTATAAATGCGTCAAGCAGTGGGTGATTCTGCTTTTTCCCCAAAATTCTATTGCCGACTATTCGTCATGGGCAATTCCCAAGTTGTTAAATCCATAGGATATTAAAAAAGGATTTAAAATCAAAAAAGGATTTAAAAATTAAACTAGTATTTCAATGGCATCTTAAGAAATATAGAACTATATAAACTTACGCAATCTGAAATCAGCGCGTACGCTAGATTTGACGCGCTGTTTAAATGGGCGCGTTTGCTAGATTTGGCGCTTTTGCCCATTCATTTTCGCTGCAATTTTTTACGGTCCTTAAAACGGAATAGCACCTAAAATATTATTTCTTTTTTTACTGCATAGATTGAATTGATTGAATGCAAACATATATCCTAACATACATTCAATGTAATTAAGACACAATAACACGCCGAACAAATACTAATTCAGAAGTCAAACAACAAAAATCAGCGTTATATTTTCAAATTTTCACAGGACTAGTTTCGATGGTTTTCCCGAACCATCATCGTCAGCTTCAAAAGCACAAATGAACGAGATAGGATATAATGATCAGATACGATAAGAATGCCTGGACAGAAAATAAGCTAGTGGCGCCATCTGTTGATGAAACCAGAAATAAAACATAATTTCTAAGGAATTATGAGTCCTATGAATTATGAGAATTATTAGTCCTGTGAAAATTTGAAAATATAACGCTGATTTTTGGTGTTTAACTTCTGAATTAATACATTCAATGTGTTAAAGAGCTCAGCTGGAAATTCTCATGGATAATAGAAGAAAATTTTAATGTGCCTTTCAGGCATTATTAATGAATGAACTAAATTCTAGGAATCGTTTGAATGTTGTTTAGCAGTTTATAGTGTTCCGTAGAATTTATAAGGATCTTAAATTTTACTAACGTTTATTTTATTTCAAAACTTTACTGTCCTCTCTTATTTTCCACTTCCGGCCAGAATAAACGCGTTAGTCGGTTTGGTTTATGCAAATTGTGCTTGCAAACTCTTACGTATTTAAGTTGTGACATTTCGCCAAGTGGAGAGAGAGAGTGGTCCTTCTAGCCATTTTATTTCACGCCTGCTTTCAAGTCAGTTGCTGTCCGCCGTTAAAGCCAATTATTTAGTCATCTTTATATTGAAGACGAACTGTAGTTTCCCCGCAGTTTGCGTACTACAAACATAAGAAAACTAAAAGGCCAATCTTAGTGTTACTAGCTGTATAAAGTATTCGAGTTTAAATCATGAAGATCAAAGGGTAGTTAAACCCTTCCTTTTCTTGTCATCTCTTCTACAGGTTTGAAGAAGATAGTTTAAGTAAACTCACTCTTCTATTCAGAATACTTACATGTTTCCAAAACAGATAAGAAGAAGTAGTAGTCGTGATAAATTAACTCAGAAATTTTAAATTATCAGTTATTATTATCTTGTAGCATCACTGTATTTCAGGATATAGATATATAAATTTATCATTCACATCAGTTTTATCAGCATTTTATTTATTTTTTTCTAAATTGCTGGTCACTTAATAGTAACATTATCAGCATGTAAGGATATAGTAGTGCTGCGAATCAAGCAAAGTTTGGAGCTTCATTAGTTTTAGATACCTAAATTATCAACATGTCAACAAAAGAAAATTATATAAACTCATAATGGAAGCAATTTCTTGATTCCCTTTATTTTAATAATGCCATGAACATTATTACCATAAAAGTAAAACAAACTTTTCATTAAATACATGCTAATCAGTAAATGGAAAATGCCGATATTTTTTTACCTTAAGCGAAATTTTCTATGATACGTTTCTTTGATTAATGAATAGTTCTCATTTAAATGCAGCTTTCACTATGTAAATGATTATTAATATATAAATAATGTTTTGTAAATTGCCAGTAGTAGTTTCAGCGAATATGTTCCCAATTAGTAAGCAATCCACAGTAAAACCTGATACACTATTGAAGAAGGTATTCCATTTTTCATCATCTTTATCTTTGTATTTATATATATATAAGCGGCTTAAGTGTTTCCCGTGCAGTGCAGTGCGTGACGAACATTATGAGAAAGCTAAGCCGGAAAAATTTAAAATACAAGAGCACGTGCATTTAACTTTTAATAAATAAATTTAACATCTATTATATATAATAGAATTCGGAAATATGCAACCGGCAACCATGAAAAAACAAATAAAATGAAATAAATAAATATCTTTATTATATGCGGCTTAAGTGTCTGTTTGTCGCCGATAGTTTATGGGTTGCTTGCGTAACTGTACTAGCCAATGGGGTGAAGTTGCCACGGCACAGGGTTGCCTTTTTAATTGAGACGTAGACAATTTCCTGTAAAACTTCCTTTTGCTATGACCGTCCATAAGTCTCAGGGCCAAATGCTTAAGCGTGTTGGCATTTTTTTACCTGAGCCTGCATTTGGACGTTGCCTGTTCAAAAGTTCGTGTAAGAACGGACGTAAAATTAAAAATAATGGAAGGTCCGTCCTCTCCAAGGCGAGCTTAAAAATGATGGAAAGATCTAAACAAAAAATGTTGTTACAAAGAGATCTTTGACATGTGAATTGGATTATTTAATTATGGCAAAGCACACAAGGGCTATCTGCCTAAAGGGAGGGATGCCTTCGTACATTTTATTATTTAAATCACCTTTATTTGTTGAGCTAGCAGTGGCTCTTAAGGAATGTACCGCCAGTGGTTTCCTTCATTGCACTTTACTTTAAGCAATTAAGCAAGTTGTGGAAATTATTTTGATTAATTGATAGATCACGCTAGCGTTGCGTGTTAACGCGACATGCCTTCTGAATTTTCGGGGACTCTCCACCGGCAGTTCGATAGATGGATGTTTGATGCTTCGCACACTATTTGATTAGGAACACTTCGGTTCCTATTTGAAAGATTTCGATTATGAAAGAATATAGATTTGTTTGTCAACTGAACCACCATGTTTTGATCAATGATCTGTAAATATTGTACATATTAAAAGTTACATTTTAAAGTGATTGATGTGGACTTATAGATCTTAGAATATTTTGAAACACAAGTAGAAGGGGGAAACCCCGTGAGGCAGTAAGCAAAGGGGCGTACTCGCCGCCTGCCCTGGGTAATTCAGTTTGAATTAGCAGACATTACTTTGCACAAACCATTTTAATTGCAATTTATAATATCTAGAACAGTCGTCATTTCGTACGACCACCGGGCTTTCTAGTTTTTTAATAAATGGTTAACTTTTTAATCATATATGAAGTTTTAAATTAATGCTATACTGAATTGACATAATTAAATATTTGCAAACTCATACCAGGGGCGATTTTTGTTCTGCTCGAGTTGCACCAGATCCTGCCAAACCTTCTTTAGCTCTGTTGACGAGCCCTGGACTTGTACCAAATCTTGATTTCGGGGGTTCCGGAGCTGCTGGTGTCTTCTCGGGTGCTGTGAATTTATTCTGGCTGCCATCTCTCCTTAGCTGAAATTTAGGCTGCGCCGGTTCTTCAGGATTCACAGATTTCTGTCCCCATGCGGTATTATTGGTTTTGGGTGGTTCTATAGGTGGGCTGTAAGGCACAGGACTTCTGTTCTGTTGGCCGAAGAAAGGCTTCGGCACGGCGGGCGGTGGCGTGGAAGGAACGGAAGCTAGAAGAGGCAAGACATGTATTTTCTAATTGTTTAATCACTTTTGTAGGTTGTAAGAATTATGTTAATTTTATTAGCAGTTAAATTTTGAGTTAAGCTTCTTTCCTGTCAAATTTTTAACTTCAACTTACTACTTCCGTCCAGAACGTAGTTTTAGAATCCCGTCTGAATACATAATGAGGAGGAGCGGTATTTAAAGAGCGAAGTTCTTGGGTCTTAGCGAGAGAGTTACCAGGTATTCTGTCTGCACGTGTCCGCCTTTTTAGGCTTCTCTCTCGTAAACTATTATTATGCTCGGCTGTACTTAGGCCCTTGATAGCTTCGCAGTCAATTAGCGTTAAGGGGCCAACTCAGTCAGAATCTTGATAGCTTCGGCTATATCTCTTTAGTTTAGATTAGTTTTAGCTTACTTCTTAGCCTCTTAATTTCAAGCCCGAGTGTTGGCTTTTATTGTACACTCCAAGACGGAGTTCTGTTAAATTTTATTTGAATAATAAAGGGTTATTTACCCTTCCATCTTGTTGTTTCTTGTCACACGAACTCAAGCGATTATTCGCTTATCAGTGCTTAAGATTCTTCACGTTCAACAGCAACTTAGCCTTTACAAAGTGGAGAACTCTACAAGGTAAATATTTTATATAAGCATCACATTTAAGGCTGAAGTTCTTCTAACACACGTAAATTTCACGATATATGCAGTAGTGCTCGCATATTCACTTGTAATATGCTCCGAAACTTACCGCAGATACATGAAATCGTATGTAATAACTAACTCCATATAAAGTAGAATATTTGCTGAACGTACTTAATTACATTTAAAATTTAATTGATAAATTATGCAAGTGGCATCAACATTAATGAATGCAGTAATAAAACATTCTATATGCAACAATACATTGCATACTGTAGTACTATAATGTGTTGTACATTAGACTTCTGGTGTTTATGAAAATTAGTGATTCTGGCATTTTAACATTATAAAAAGTACTTTTTTATCAGTAAAAGAGAAGAAATCTATGTATATACCGGGTGGCCATAATTAAACTGCTAGTGCGATCTATTCGCGAGAATGACTCCACATTTTGTAGGAAGATTAAGCAGGATGGGGGACGAAGGACGCGAAAAAAAAATTAGTTCCAAAAGTCACCGCTAGGGGAATATTTGGCGCTGTGTAATAGAAAATAGAGTGTTAACAAATGCAAATTAATACGGAGTAAAATTTATCGTAGGTCTATTCTATGAGAACATTACCCCGACAGGACCGGAAACCTGTTCTGTTACCGGAGAGAAATATCGCCACATGTTGAACAGCTTTGTCATTCCGGCACTTCAGCAAAGACAATGCCTGGGGGAAATCATTTTCATGCAAGATGGACCCCCTCCACACTTTACTGTACGGACGGGTGCAACAGATGCTACAACAGAAATTCACAACAGAATCATTAGCCGCTACTTTCCAACTGCATGGCCATTTCGGTCGCCTGATCTTACCCCATGCGACTTCTGGCTATGGCGTTACCTAAAGTCTAAGGTCTATCAAGGAGTGGTCCAGGACCTGGCTACGTTGAAGGATAAATTATCACAAACTGTACGGGAGATTCCTGCAGACATGTTACTTTCTGCTGTTGTGCATACTGTGCACAGAATGCAATATGTGGTCCACAACAACGGCAGCCACATTGAACCTCATTTGAATGCAAAATAAAAGGTAATTTCTGTATTGATTTGCATTTGTTAACACTCTATTTTCTATTACACAGCGTCAAATATTCCCCTAGCGGTGATTTTGGAACTAATTTTTTTTTTTCGCGTAATCCTTCGTCCCCCGTCTTGTTTAATCTTCCTACAAAATGTGGCGTCATTCTCGCAAATAGATCTCGCTACAGAACGCTGTGAGCACTGTCAGTTTAATTATGGCCACCCGTTATATATATATGTATTATAAGGTATTTCTTCGTAGCATGCCATCGTGGTGTAGTGGTCAGCACACTCAGCGCGTATTCGAGAAATCCGTGGTTCAAGTCCCGGCGAAGACACTGCTCATTTTTCATTTCTCCAGCATCGAAATAACTTAATATCTCTACAATATAAGGTAAAAAATACGCAAATAAAAATTATAAGTCAAATTAAAAATAGTCCTTAGTTCCTCCTCTGTGTTCTAAAAATCGAAAAATCGTAATAACGTTTCTGGACTGTCTCATTTCTAGATCAATCCATCTTGTATGGCTTGCATAACATTTATGACATAGGTAAAGAAAAAATGATTCATTCAATTAGTACTAAAGCAATGATAGGGTACTAATCGTTTTCTAACATTTATAGCATCAATTCTCACACGCGTTACGTATTTGGGATAAATATGAGTTTTAAGACCTATCAAACTGAGGAAAACGTTTCTAGTAAGAATAAGATGAATTGCTGAAGGCAAGAGTGTGGTAGGGTCATGATAGAATATCAAGACCTAGACAAAATTCGAACACGATTCTAGATTTAAGGATTGTCTATGTAATGACAATGGACGTTGATGCATAATTAAATGTATGCACTGCATATATGAAAATGAGAACATTCTCTGTATGTCGTAATTCTGTGCATTAATTACGAGAACATAATTCATATTATGTATCAAATGTTTTTACTATTGCTGTATTACTATTATATACACGGTGTCCAGAATTAAAGAATCCTACTTCAAAGTTGCCTACACGCGAAACCGGTCATCAGAAAATAAAAGTTTTGTGGAGGACTTAATGAAGGGATGGAAATGTCTTTCAGAGAAACAAAAATTAGTTACAAATAACATCAACAAACGGCATTTTAAATTGAAAAACCTGTAGTAAGAATGTAAATATTTGTCATGCAGCAGTTATAAAATCTAGAAATATCCGTTGAGATTTTGTTTTCAATGTGCTTGCTGCTCACAATGACGATAAGTTTACGAGGTCGAGCTGTTTTCCCAAACAATAATTCCACGGTAGCTGTTCTACGAAAATTTCGGACTTTGAAATGGATTCGAAGGGGGTCCAATAAATGTTGAAAACATTCGGAAAATGATAATACAATTTGAAGAAAAGGATCTTTTTCTGTTTGTCCTGCAAGAGGAAGAAAACCATTTCTGCAGCAGCACTACATGTGGTAGAGGAAAGAGCTTCGGACTTTTTAGGTTAGTACCAGTGTTCGGTGTGTAGTAGAGGCATTGAATAGGCCATATTCAGCTGCCCATATGATACCTATAATATCCTCCGATATTATCCTTACAAATTTTCACTGGCGCAGCGGTTGCATTCACATGATTTTAACGCTTGACTCCGGTATTCATTTCAATTTCTTGCACGCTAAGGTCGATTCAGAATAAATAGCCTTGGTATATCATCTGAACAGACGAAACGCGTTTTCAATAGACGGTGCAGTGAATACTCACAACTGCCTAATTTGGCAAGCAGGAAATCCATTCCCTTTACAGGTTCCTTTGCATTTGTTTTTAAACGTTATTTTACAGAGGATCATGTCATCAGCCGGCACTTTTGTAATGTATAACCTCCCGATTCCTGGCTTTAGGGGTATTTGAAACATATGCCAAGTCGTGATAATCCAAGAACTTGATGTTCAAACTAACACTTTATGCCACGAGTTCAACATTTCCCAGCACACACTTCAGTCAGATGTGGAACATGCCGTCTTGCGATTTCAGACGTAGCTGAAAATGATGGCCATCATGTAGAACATGTTTTGTTGTAATGAAATTTGTTGTAAAACTATTGTAAAGGTGGGGCTAAATGTGTAATTTATTAATACAGTGTCCTCTGGTGGTGATGTTTGTAATTAATGTTTCTTCGCTGAGAGCCATTCCCATCCCTTCATCAAAACCACCACAAAATTTCACAGATTTTTAATTGCTACTTTCTCCTGTACACAGCTTTGAAATAGAACTTTTTTACTTCTAGACACCCTTTATTTTTTGACTTTTCTGTATTTGATATTAGAACTGTATAACTGCTTTTGATGCTTTGTATATATTAGGGTATATTTTGTACTAAAGTCTTAATAAAGAATTTGATAGGGCAAACACATCTGTCCAGGCAAAGAGAAGTCTATATTCTACATTAATTTAGCCATCATTAAAATCTCAAATTTTTAAGATTTCTAACTTGTTTTTGCCAATTAACTTTACCGGTGACACCTCTATTAAGAAATCAGAACCGTTTCTTCCATTTCTTGTTGCACTTGGGAGAACAGTAGTTCTGTCACGTCTTAACACGTTGAGCGCCACACGCATTTCTTAGGCAATCCCGTTCAGGCCACGCGCGCCGCTTAAAAGCGCTGGTATTGTAGGGTCAGGAGTAATGGCCAGAAAAAAGACTAAGAGATTGTCACATTTTGTAATAGCAGTAATGGAGATCCGTTTTTATATTTACCGTGTTCAATAAAATCCATTAGTCCTGTAATGAATCAAAATTAAGTAAATTTTAAATAAATTTTCTGTAATTCCATAAAACAGTGTAAATTTTATAGTTATATATCATAATGCACACTGTCAGCCAGCAGCGGTCGACGCGGCCTAAACGGTCGAGTGTCGGCCACAGATGGCTGATGCAGCCTATAGGGAAAGTCGAGTGTCAGCCACAGATGGCTGACATGGCGCTCAACGTGTTAACAGCTTGCGATTAGTAACGATAAGCTCTAACAAGGTATTTATTTTAAGCACATTTCTTATATCCACTTTGGTTGCGCAAATACACAGGTAATGCTAGTAGGTTATTTCTAAGCTGTAATTCTTAGTGCAATACACGGCTAATTTTAAATTACAGTGAAAAATTCCGAGAAAACTTCTTAGTTTATGATTCCGTGTTATAATTTATTCAACAACTGCAATAAAAGAATTTTATTAAAATCATTTTCCCAGGCGTAAGAATGGAAAGAGATTAGTGAAATATGTACGTATAATCCTATTCCTTTTTTACTTCAGTTAAATAAAGAAATCGAAAAGTACACGAAAATTCGACAGTAAGGATTTACTTTTGAAAGCATGAGGAAGAAAAAAAAATATTTTGATAAACCTTATTTTTACAAATAATTTTTTTATATGAAGGATGCTCTGTAAAAAAGAGAAAAAATTGTCAGTTCTCACCTGTCAGACTGTTTTGCCGTGCAAGCGTTGGTTTTGTAGGTGAAGCTGGTTCTGGTGTAACTTGCTGTTTGATGAAGGATGTTGTTTCTCCACGACTCTGTCTCCGAGCTGCAACTGGTTCCTCTTCTTTTTCTTTTTGATTTTCGAATAAGGACCGTTGTCTGCTCACCAAGGACGGTCTCGCTAATGATTTAAAAATTATGAGACTTCCAAGTAGACTTTGAAATAGACATTTCATTCATTGAAAATTTTATTTTTCTAACATATATTTAAGCAAGTCCATGTAATAAATTCTGGCAACTTTATTTGATCGCAAGAAAAAGAGCATAAGAGCATTCATTGGTTAAAAATTTTTCTGTTTTTTTTTCCCTTCAATTTTTGAAGTTACATATATTGCAAGTATGAATTGCCTATTGATCCATCTACACATGGATAAACAGATATTTTTTTCCTTTTGTTGTAAATAGTAACTAGGTAAAGATTGAATGAGACCTAAAGTTCGATTAGATTCAAACTTTGATGAGATGATCAGCGGCATTTGACGCATGCGTTCGCTATAAATATGTATCTTTATACAGCTTTTCATTGCATTAGGTCTACATGCATAAATTAGAAGTTGAATATAATAATAAAAGCTTTATTTCTTTCATAATGTTATTTAATAAAGAACGCATTCTAAACAAATTAGGGCCACGTTCGGTATTTTGGATGATATGATGTCCCTCTTGCGAGAATATAAGCATTGATTGCCTAGTCCCGCAATTTTATTATGTTAGCGAAGGAGATTTGAGTGACAGCCACAAAACTGAGATCTGAATCCGATTAATTTCAACATGTAACATTTTTGAAAATTTGGCTTTATGCCAGGAAGATTCACCACCTGGATGAAAACATTTGGCACATTTGTCATCAAATCAGTCCTATTCTTTTCGAATTCTATTCAAATAAATTTTAAAGGCATTAAATTTTCTGTGTCCTGGAAAATATTAAAACATTTGAGAAATCAAACAACACTCTTAGACAATAAAAAAAAAAAAAAAAAAAAAAAAAAAAAAAAAAATAAGGCGACGCACCGAGAAGATATAAAGTAATTTGAACACAAATTGATATGCATATAGGTTTCGACGGAAAATGCAAAATTTTACATTTTGGCTGCCAATGAATGAACGTTTGTCGCTACAGCGCATCTGATCTGCGCAACTGGCAGAATATTTAAGGGGAGAAATTACGATTCCAGGCCATAAATTCTTCACGAATTTCATTCCGTGTACTCTGGTAGACAGTAATTATGCCTCGTATACAGGTGCGCAAACGATATGCGCAGATGCCAGAATTTGACAAAGGTCGTGTAGTTGGGTTCAAAGAAGCCGGGTGGTCTTATAGGCGAATAGCTTGACATTCGAAAAGGAGCGATGCCACTATTAGACGACGTTGAAAGGAATGGGAGAACCATGGCCGCACACAGCGTCAAGAAGGAAGCGGTAGGCCTAGAGAAACGACAGAACGTGAAGACTGAGCAATCGTCAGAGCAGCACTCACAGCCCCAGATGCATCATTATCATCGAATGTACGTGCAACTACTGCTTCAGTTACCGCAAGGACCATTCATAGGCGGCTCACAGAAAGAGGGCTGAGGTCACCGGGCCCCTTGCGCCGACTACCATTGACCTCTGTACACCGTCAAGTCCGTTTGCAGTGGTGTCGGGCTCATTCGCACTGGAATAGAATAGTCTTCAGTGATGAGTCCCGCTTTGAACTGACCCTCGATGACCAGCGAAGGCAAATCTGGAGACGCCCCGGGCAGCGGTGTAATACCAACCTTACTGTCTTCCGGCAGACAGGCCGACAACCAGGAATGATTGTCTGGGGTGTCATTTCATTTTATAATAGGACCCCTTTGGTTGTCATCCGACGCAACATTACAGCACAGCGGTACGTCGACGAATATTGGGCTGGAATTATTGAGTAATTATGACATGAATTTAACATTAGAAAAGGAAAGAAAAGAGGTATAGCTCAGTGTTGTAATAAATATGGAATAACAAATAATAATTTAAATATGTGAAAAATTACAATAAAAGGTAAACAATCTAGTTATTTATTGTATCTAGATGCCAATAATTTATACGGATGGGATATGAGTGAATAGTAACAGTATGGTGGATTTAAATGGAGCAACAATGATAACTGGCTTAATAAAAGGGATGATTCAGATTTTAAATATATATTAGAAATTAGTTTAAAATACCTAGAAGAACAACACGTTAAAAATTCAGGAATGCCTTAACCCCAAAAAATATAATTCCAGATGGCTCTAGACGAGCTATATTACTATCAGTTTTATATGACAAAGAATAATATGTTGTTCAGTTTAGAAACTTAAAACAATATTTGAAATGGAATTAAAATTGGAAAAAATTAATAGAATACTGGAACTTAAACAATCTTCTTGGTTAAAGAAACATTTAAATGTGAATACTGAAATGAGAATTAAAGCTACTAATAATTTTGAAGAAGACTTTATACGGATGGGATATGAGTGATGAATAAGTCAGAGTATAGAAAAACAACGAGAAACCTTAGAAAGAGAATTAATGTAAGGTTATGCTGTAGTTATGAAAAATATAATTTAGTTGCTGAAAATGAACAAAAATTCAATCAGCTTTGATAAATCATTCTGTGCTGGAATGACAATATTAGATTTATCAAAATAAACAATGTGCGAGTTTCATTATAATATTATGAAACTTAAAAATTTGGATAATGTTACGCTACTGTACATAGGCACAGATAGTTTCGTAGATTTTATCAAAACTCATGACTTTTATGAAGATATGAATGGTATGATCAGTTATTTTGATGCAGCGGCTAGAGTCTGCCATTAAAAAAAAAAAAAAGGAATTTTGATAAATCTGATTATCGAAAAAATAATAAATAAAAAGGTTTTAGGTGAAATGAAAGATAAAAATAATGGCCTGATTATGGAAGAATCCATTGGATTATGAGTAAAAATGCGTAACTATAAAAAACTGAAAAGTCAAAAGATGTAAAAAAGTATTGAAAAAAATCGTTAAAAAAATTTCATCTGAAGATCATAAAGATTGTTTAATAACAATGAGCATTATAGAACTATGAAATTAATTAAAAATATAAAAACTTATGTTTAGTTCCAGTGAATTAAAAATTTTTATTACCTGCAGGTGGCAAGTGCTTTTATTTTACAAGAATATTATTGTCTTTAATATTAGAGCAGTAGTTTTCAATATATCTGAACTCATGTCGCATTAAAAAAAGCACAATGGTAGCTTTTAGTAAAGTGTTTTCCCATTTAGTTTATCTAATTATGCTATATGAAGACCAAACTCATTAAAAAAGCTATTGCGATTTTGGACACAGTTGCTGATTTGCATAATTGAATCATACCGAATTTTACTATATTTTGACTTTTGGTTTTATATTTCAAGCGTATTAAAAGAAAAAAATTGCAATATAGCTTTCAGACTCAGTGAGTTGGAATATGGGGAATATTAGATTTAAAAATAAGAAGGAAAAAAAATAATAAAAATAATCTACTTACTTGCTCTGTCGCTATGGAAAGCGGGCTTCTCCTTGACCTCTGGCGATGGAAGAGTTGGAGGAGGAGCGGATGGATAATTTGGATCGTTCTGACCTGTTAAAGTTCTGTTTCTAGCATCTCGACGACGTCGTAAGGCTGGTGTTATACCAGTGTCATCTGAAAGAAGGAACTAATATCTCTTAATTTATACCTTATTTTACATAAATTAAAGAGCGAAAACTGGCAGACACATCTAATTAAAAAGATTCTAATGTTCCTCAGTACTTTGTCTATGATAAATGTGGAGGAACCTGGTGAACTAAGTAGCGACTTATCGCTGAGTTTGAGTATTTACGACAGAGTTCAGAAAAGGGTTAAAATACCCTTTTATTCAAAGAAATAAGGCCACTTCTCAGGCTTACAGGAAAGCCTCCACTCGGGCTTTTAAATCAGGATAAGAAAATAAACTAATCTATTACCAGTGGCGTAACTAGGGTGGGGCAAAGGGGGACATCTGTCCCCGGGCGCAGCATCCAGGGGGCGCCAAATTGATGCGAAATTCTAGAATGAAATGTGTTCCATTCGTAGCACACATAGAGGGTAGCAAAATCTTCAGTTGTCCCCGGGTGCTCTGTCTATTACTAAACAGACTTAGCCGAGGCTAGACACAAATACCCTAGCGTAGTTGGCCCTTAATCTAACCTAGTCGGCGATTATCAGCAGGCACTTACAATACGGCCGAACGTAGTAGATTTAAGAACGAAGCAGCCAAACGGTAAACACGCCCACTAAGGGCTCCTAAGCACTTTTCGAAGTAAGCTGAACCTCCCTTAAATACCCCTTCTAACTCATTTGCATAAAACGCGATACTAAAAATTCATTCCGGTATGGAATAGTAGATGAGAAACGAGAATAGACAATAAAGCATGTTTAAACTTAAAATAACTGTTAGGAACTTGGTTATCAGCAGTTAACTTAGTTATCAACTGTTAGGAACTACTGTTAGTAACCTCTACAAGATGCAACCCTTTCATGTGCTTGAAACGGTGTCTGCTTGATATGCCACTTGATACTACAGTCAAAAGTCATTAATCCGGACTCGTCGGGACTTCGGTCATTCCGGATTATCGATTTTTCCGGATTATAGATCATCAGTTTAAATCTGGTAAAATGGCATGCAGAAATTATAAAATTAAAAATATGAAACCGTAATTTACGAAATAAAGAACAATTATGATCTAAAGTGTATCAAAATTTACAAAAAAAAAAAAAAAAAAAAAAAAGCTTAATATTTATTTGTTTACTTTACTAAACATTTCTTTCAATGTAAGTTGTTTAAGTTGCTTCGTTTTTTATGTGATAATACATTCTCTTTAATTCTATAAACAGACATAATTTCTTGTTCAGTTACCAAGTTCCGCTGTTCAAGTCCCGTTAATTGCTGTGCCAAGAATACCGACTAACTTGTCAATCGAAATTTTTTCGTTTTCACTAACCTCTCTGTCACATTCTTCATGTCTCTATCCATTTTTTGCAGCAATTCCACTTTTTGTTTGTTGGACATCGAAACATACTTTCGTATTGTAGATCCTTTGGAAGTTCCAGCATCGGAAATTCTATTTGACATAATCGAAAGTTCAAGTTTACTTTTATAAAATTGGTCTTATAGTCTGCAAAAAAATAATAAGCGGGATCCAATTCGAAGATTAAGGAACAACGCAATCATTAACATTAACTGAAATAGATAATTAGATAATTTTAGCTTACACTAAACATTTTTAGCTTAGATTAAATGCGCAGACGAAAACGTATTCTGCACTTGCGCACACACATATGCGCAGTAGTCAAGGTCTTACGCGCACGCGTAAAACGCCTGTGCGCATGTGTCAACGCGGCGCATGCGCAGAAAGTTTTTAGCTTTGAAGTCCGGATTATGGGTGTCCGAATTAACGACTTTTGACTGTAATCTGAAAGCTTTTAAATTTTATATTACGCCCAAAGGCGAGCTTTTTTTAACGTTTTGTGTGTTACGTTTATTTACTAAATATCCCGTTCCTCACTTTTAAATCATAAAATTCAATTTAACAGAAACATCACAAAATAATTAAAAAAGAGCATATCTTTAGAGTTACCGATACACGGTCTGGCGCGCTGGAGATATAAAAGTTACCCCCCTTCTCCGCACAGTGTCACCATTGTTCGCTTTGAAATCGCTGAATTGTCGCTTAATCAAGAATTCGTTAAAGTTTTACAAAATATGAAATAGGTAATAAAACAGATTCCAAATTTGGGCTTCCAGATGCCCATATTCGAGTGGAGGACTACGTTATTCAAAATTGGATGTCCTTAGGTACCGTTGTGTTCACAGTGCGAGTAACATACATACATTCACGCAGATTTTTCATTATTAAATTTCTTTAAATATGGATAATGCAGGGCTCTAATATTTGGTGGCAACAGTTTGAAAAGTGAAACGCCGTTTTATAGTGGATGAAGCAAAATGTCAAAACGAAATAATTAGCCCTTCTTGGCATATTGCCCCTTTAGGCTAAGAATTCTACGGTGCTAATAAATCCTAATGTTTGCAATGTTTAAATATCTTTGATTTCACTATAAAATTTTATGATCAATTAAAAAAAACTCATATTCGAGGAAAAATGTCTTTTTTTTTAAATCCATGCTAATGAAACTTACCGTCTATATCGATACCAGTGTCAGAAACAGGAGCAGGGGGTTCGCTCGGTTTCTCTGCCTCACGACTGTCTCTGTCAAAAGAAAATTTTACAATAAAATTACAGTATAAATCACTAAAAGAATACACGATTCTTTGGAAGAAGTTTCATGGATAACTATTTTTAATAACCAAATAAGGAGCCTAACGATTCGGTCAACCATCAGAAAGCGGAATTAAAGACAGTACCTTTTGCCTAATCGAGTCATAATATGATTTAAAAATGTCCATGTGATCTTTGCTAAGCTTTCCTTTATCTAAGTAGCAGTCCTTGCAATAAATCATGAATGTAAACTTGATAAACCTTTTAAGCATAGTGAGTGGGTTTTCATTTTTCGTATTTTATATAAAAGAAATTTTAAAAATTTAATACGTTAACATGATTTAAAGCTTAAAGCAGAACTGTCAAAGAAGAATATGTGTAAATTTCCCTTTGTGTAAAATTCAGAGGTGATTCAAATCTGAATTTTATCTGATTTTTGAGAAAAGTATCTCTGAAATGAATCAGTTTTTAATTATTTTTAACTTTCATTGCTCTGGTCAGTATAGATATTACGTTTGTAAAAAATAACACTGATTTAGAAATTTTGGAGGATACCTAATTCAAAGAAATTGCTAAAAATTATTTCAGGGTACGTAACATTAATTTGGGAATTTCCAACAGTATGCTTAAGATTTACCTCCTTGCCCATGGTAGTGACGGTTTTTTTGTAGTAGGAGAAGCAGGTGGAGGGGACTTCGGAGATGTAAATGTAGGTAGCTGAGGAGTTGAATGGCGACGACTTTTCCGACGTTCTCGATTAGATCCTCTTGAGGAAGGCGTGACGTTTTTGGATCTGGAATGCAATCAAGGAACGTTAATAAAATCATTTTTATTTATGCTGAAATTTTCTGTTGATATTAGTAGTGGTACTTTTCTTTGACTGATTATAACTTTCTATTTATCGGCAATATGTTTAATTATCAATATTTTACACAATAGCTTAGAATAAAAAGAATATGTTTTTCTTCTTTTATAAATGTTATTAAATTGTTATATTATTCTGAAACAGGAAAAGGATATTTATTAGCAAAATAAAATGTCCAGATAATAGGCTGAAACTTGAAACATTTAAATGCTACTACATACACTTTTGTTAAGAAAATGTCAAGTGCATGAAATTTGATATAATTAAATTTGTCATTAAGAGACGTCGGTCTGCTGTTTGCAGAAGATAGGTGTGAACCGAGGACAGCATATTTCGTGCTGTTCTGCAGACGGATCTACAGCATGTTAGGGGATATTTTGAGCACAGAAGCTTGAGTTTCTTTGATCAGCAGCGAATGAAAACAACTTATTTTAAAATTTCTGATCCTATGAATACAATTTCATAGGACCTTCTCTCATCAAGATTCTGTGGGGTATATATGTTCAAAAAATTCAAGCTAACCAAAACGATGCGATGATACCAGTCTATGAGAGGCAATAAAAGAAACATTCGACCAACGTTACTTCTATGACAGGAGAACTGTACCAAGCCTATGTACCCACAGATATTTCTTTGAAAAGAATTAGATAATATTTTTTTTAACATTTAAATTAAAATTACTCTATAAGTCTTTTCCGTGAACTTTTTAAACATGTGAGTATGATCTTGAAGCTTGTTCATTACCTTTCAATGAAAGTTCCTAGGAATGGTTTTCCATCATTTTCTCCATCTTCATGTTTTAACACAGCCTGAAAAGGAGACAAATAAGAAAAATTAATTCAGAGAAAGAAAGAATTATTTTATTTATTCACTTAACATTTTTAAATTAGAAATGAAATTTTTTAATCTTTTTTTTTTTTTTTTTTCTTACAGCTAATTTA